GTGAAGGATGGTGTTATTGAACCTTCCTCTAGTCCATGGTGTTCACTCGTGGTGCTGGTAAAGAAGAAGGACGGCAGCATGCGGTTCTGTGTTGACTACCGCCGTCTGAACGACGTTACAAAGAAGGACAGCTATCCCTTGCCAAGAATTGATGACACGCTAGACAAGCTTACAGGAGTAAAGTGGTTTAGCACGCTGGATCTAAAAAGTGGCTACTGGCAAGTTGAAATTGACCCTAAGGACAAGGAGAAAACCGCGTTCTCGACGGGAAAGGGTCTGTGGCAATTTAAAGTAATGTCGTTTGGGTTGTGCAATGCTCCAGCAACGTTTGAAAGGCTGATGGAACTTGTACTTACCGGGCTAATTGGCGATGCTTGTCTGGTCTACTTGAATGACATCATCATCGTAAGCCGGACGTTTGAGGAACACCTTCAAAACCTGAAACGCGTGCTCATGAAGATTCAGAGTGCCAACCTCAAGTTGAGTCCGAAGAAATGTTCACTATTCAAACGGCAAGTTAACTTTTTGGGGTATGTAGTATCGGAAGAAGGTATCCGCACGGATCCAGAGAAAATCGCCGCTGTTAAGGATTGGCCGGTTCCAAAAGACAAGACGCAGGTTAGAGCATTTTTGGGTTTGTGCTCCTATTACCGGCGATTTGTGAAGAACTTCGCAGGTATAGCCAAACCTCTGCACAAGCTAACCGAGGAGAAGCGAAATTTCTGCTGGGATGAAAGTTGCAATATCGCATTCCAGGAGATCAAGGACCATCTGTACAAAGCACCTATTTTGGGATACCCTGATGCAAGCAAAGAATTTATAGTTGACACAGACGCAAGTGGCGGTGTGTTGTCTCAACGGAATGGTGACCAAGATGTCGTGATAGCGTACTTCAGCAAGTCGTTGTCAAAACCGGAAAGGAACTATTGTGTCACAAGACGCGAATTGCTAGCTGTGGTAAAGTCGTTGCAGCATTTTAGTAAATATCTTCTGGGACGAAAATTTCACTTACGAACTGACCATGCTGCACTAAAATGGCTATTGCAGTTTAAAAATCCAGAAGGACAAGTTGCAAGGTGGATTGAACTACTGCAGGAATACGACTTTGAGATCGAACATCGCAGCGGAAAATCTCACGGCAACGCAGATGCATTGTCAAGAAGACCTTGTCCTGAAGATTGCAACCATTGTACTAGGCAAGAGAGTAAGGAAGAGGTATCCGTGAGGATGCTCAGGACAGATCACCTCAGCAACGAACGGAAGGACAGCTTACTACATGCACAGCAGGAAGATCCGGACATCAAGCCGATTCTGGAATGGATAAAGGCCAGTGCTCCCAAGTCCAAGTGAAGCGACGTCTCAGCGATGAGTTCGACCACTAAAAGCTATGGGGCCCAGTGGGACAGCTTGCTGCTTCAGGATGGAGTTCTGTGCCGTAAATGGGAAAATGTTCGGGGAGACAGCTGTCATTTTCAAATGGTTGTCCCTAAAGCTAAAGTACCGGATTTTCTACAGCTGTACCATAATGATTGTTCAGGAGGCCATCTGGGAGTTAAAAGAACTCTACTGAAGATCCGAGAACGATTTTATTGGGTCCACTATCGAAACGATGTCGAGGACTGGTGTCGCAAATGTACAAATTGTGCGGCTGTAAAGGGACCTCAGACTCGTAGTAGAGGTGCATTGAAGTTGTACAATATTGGTGCACCATGGGAGAGAATAGCCATTGACGTGGCGGGGCCGTTTCCGGAGAGTGAAAGCGGTAACAAGTATTTCATGGTTGTGATGGATTACTTCACTAAGTGGCCAGAAGTCTTCGCCAATTTTAAATCAAGAAGCTTCAACAGTTGCAGATAAACTAGTTCATGAAGTCTTCTGTCGTTTTGGAGTACCTTTAGAAATTCACAGCGATCAAGGAAGGAATTTTGAGTCTCAAATATTCCAGGAAACTTGCCGAGTTATGGGTACTCATAAAACAAGAACGACTTCTTATCACCCGCAATCTGATGGAATGGTAGAACGATTTAATCAGACATTGGAGAGGTACCTAGCAAAAGTTGTAGACAATCGGCAACGAGATTGGGACAAGCACATACAACCGTTTTTGCTGTCATATCGAAGCGCTGTTCACGAAAGTACATCAGTGACACCAGCTTTCGCAAACTTTGAAAGAGAATTACGGCTGGGATACCACCTGACGCCCCACGCAGTATAACCGATTATGCAAATGACTTGCGGAACAAAATGAATGACATTTATGAACACGTCAGACAATCGGGCCAGCAAATGTCTTAAAAGATGAAAACCCTGTATGCCCGCAAAATGAACAACAAAGGGTTCGACGAAGGTTCACTAGTGTGGTTGCACAATCCGGTCCGCAGCAAAGGGAAATCTCCTAAGCTTAAAGCTAAATGGGACGGCCCGTACCGGATTGTGACCAGGATCAACGATGTAACCTATCGGATACAGAAGGGCGCAAGAGGGACTCCTAAGATCGTCCATGTGGATCGCCTGCCGCGTTATTATGGGGCCGATAATGCTCGGGACGAGCATGTCTTAGGAGGGGGCAGTGTTGCGCGGCTAAGTTGACATCTGGTACTAGCGCCATCTAGTGTCGGGTAACGGAGCGAGGGGAGAGCTTTCCAGAAAATGACATCACTAATCTTTCAACCGACAGCGCCATCTGTTGTCGAAACGAAGAACTAAGCTTCTGGAAGCTGACTCTCGAACTTTCGGTGCTTTGTCGATTGGTGCGCGTATTTACTTGAATGTTCTGGATGATTCGGTACTAATGTGTATTTATAGGCGCTGCAAGGTGCGATCGGGGAAGTATTGAATTTGGCGAGAGAAGTGTAGCTTCGGAGCGGAATAAATTGAATCAGTGTGATTAATTATTAGTGTTTTTAACTTTCATTAGTGTAAAGTGAATTAAAGTGTTAATTTAGGTAATTCTATCGGCAATTTTTATTGTCACGAACCTCAAGCTCGTAACAATATCTTTGGGCCACAGCATCCCCTTACCATCAGGTGGACTGTGTGCTCGTTTGTCACCCTTATTCTATAAAAAAGTGTGAGTGTTCATCGAAATCCGTCCAGCCTTTCTTAAGTGATGGTCTTTTATACATTATCATCATCATCATTGCAGCCCTTCACAAGTCCACTGCTGAACATAAGCCTCCCCCAAGTAATGCCACAAAGCACGGTCCTGAGCCACCTGCATCCATCGACTTCCTGCATATCTTACCAGGTCGTCACTCTACACTACGTCTACCGGTACGAGTCTGCCACTCGAGAACCTTTCTTCCCCATCGGTTATCGATTCTTCGAGCTATATGGCCGGCCTAATGCCACTTCAGCTTACTAATCCGTTGGGCTATGTCGGTCAGTCTGGTTTTACTGCGGATATCCTCATTTCTGAGTCTATCACGCAGAGAAACTCCGAGCATAGCTCTCTCCATATCTCGCTGAGCGACCTTGAGCTTTTATACAAGCGGTAATTAATTTTTATTTATGTAGACTTACCACTTACTTAGCGGAAAATATAAACCATCGATTATATTTAACAAAGCTTTATTTCCTTGGATGAAAATATTTCTAAATCATGAAAGTAAGGCAGGGTCTCGATAATGCTGCGCAGCTTCAGTAAAAAAGAGTTCACTACCTCATACCAAATAATATATATTATGACTCAAAAGATCTAAGACCTCATACCATCCCGTGATCATCGTAAAAGGCGACAGAGAGAAATGAAAAGTGAGATAGGCAACAGTATCTTAGTGATAATAACTCAAAATAATAAAAAAAATTACGGTTGCCAAAACACTTGCTAAGAGAGGGAGCTATGGCAAATATTCCCCCCTACTTTCAGCAGTGGACTTTTGATAGGCAGCATTAATTTAATGATGAATAATATCTTGTTAGCGAAATAATGACAAAGTGGACGCCGCAACAAAAGAGACCGAGAGGCAGGTCGAAAAAGCGTCCGAGTAACTGTGTGGAAGAAGATCTCAGGAAGATGGCAAAGTTTACCAGCTGGAAGAAACTCTCCAGGCACCGTGACAACTGCAGGAAGATTGTGGAGGAGGCCAAGACCCACAAGGGGTTGTAGCGCCAATGGAAATAAGAAGTAAGTAATATCTTGATAAAGCAGACAGGAAAACGGGTAATACGTTCATGTTTAATTAATGAATGATGAAAAATATCTTAAAGAAGCAGAGAGAACAGGTAATACTTTCATAATCGTTTTATTGGTAGTTGCTATCTAGCGATAAAAGAGAAGGCAGTATACTACTTTACGTGGTAAACCTAAGCTGCAGCTATAACAGTTGTAGCACGAAATTGGCTCGACCGGGGTAAGACCACCCTCTCACAGTATACCAGCGTAAAAATAGCAGCTTAAGGCTGTTGTGTTGTGGGTAGAGAAACGGTAGTACTTTTTACAGGAAACAAGGTATTCCGTTATGGATTGTAGAAGTAAGGAGTGCAGACTGTGTAATAAAAAGTGTCCGTAGAAAACCGTTAAATAAGGGTGGCGCCACTATAGCTACGGGGTAAATTTTAGAGAACGCGCCGAAAAATATTAGTGAGATAGACGACTTTTTCGAGGTTATATTTACTAAATAAAATTATTTTAGATTTTAGAGCTACTGAGCACACCGTAGACAACTGCTAAGTTCATTTCATTAGACACCACCACAAGAACTCAAGACATACCGTCAGTTCATTTTGCATAGATCGGACCATAAACAATAATTAAAAAAGCTGAAGGTACCCCGTGACAGCTTAGTTCCATTCTACGCAACTTGGCGCTACCGTCGCAATTTTTACTCTGCCTACGGACGCCATTTTGAGACGCCATATTCTATTAATGTCAAATCATATTGTCAAAACTATCGATATTGATTGCCGCCATTTGCCGCCATTATTTATCTAAATTTTTCTCAATTATTACAATATTCTGTTTTTGTGCTGCTCGTGTGAATATTGCATATATCATCATAATGGTATACGAAAAGTGTTGTGTTGGTGGTTGCAATACAACACGTGAAACGCACCGGCTTTTCAGATTCCCTAGGAACGATAATTTAAGGAACTTGTGGATGGCTTTCATAGTGCCGACAAATCCCCAGCTCATTGTACTTTCCAAAGAACAGTTACTTAACAAACGTGTCTGTGAAAAACATTTTGATGTATTTCAGTTCGGCAATGAAGGCAGAAGACTTCGATACTCTTACCCGTCCTTGCTTACTGACAATGAAATAGCTCATGGTGTGCCTCTGACTGCAACTGGTGAGTTATTTTATTACTTTCAACCATGGTACTTAAAAGAGAAGGAGACGTCTCTATACATTCTTGGGCCCAAGTATTAACAAGATAAAAGTACGACCATTTGTAAGTGTCATTGACTCTACATCATTATTTGCTATGATAGTGTAATTTTTTCAGGATGGGATGTCACAACTGAACATAATTACTGTAAAGAGCAAAATGAAGATGATTTCACAGAAGCTGTGTTAGTGGTTAGAAAGCCTGGTATGTACAAATATCTTAATTGATGTTAATTGTAAATCATAGTAAACATATTATGATGAACACTGATTTCTAAAAATATTTTATTTAAATTACAGTCAGTGGCAAATTTTTCAACATTTTGAATAATGTTTTCAGGAAGTGATGTTACGATTGAACACAATTACTACAAAGAGCAAAATGATTGTTCCAAATCATCGGTAGAGATTGGATCGTCAGGTGTGTACTAATATTCATGTAGCACTAGTTACTAAGTAGCAAAAAAAGCTTTCTAACTATTTCATAAATTTACTAACCATTCATTTTCTAATAATGTGTTTGCCTAATCATACTGACATCTATAAAAATGCAATCTTGTAACAAATTTCAGATGTTGGAAATTCTCATGAACAGCCTTCCAGTGCAAATTTTTCAACTGTTGCAACAGTTGTTGAAAATAAAGGTACGGGAAATTGTATTGGACATAATTTTTTATACATTTATGTAGGGATCAAATTAAAAGAAGTACTTATATATCGGGTAATAGAAAAAATACTTTAAATGCTTAAAAACAGGCTGTGGACTGGAGTTGTCACTGCATACCTGGAACTGCATGAGTTCTAGAGGATGGTTACGTGTATTTAATTTAGACATACAATACAGAGAAGCATACATTGTAAATTTAATTTATGTTTAAGACCATAACATTCATAACTATTGCTTCTTTTCAGGAATTGATTCTAATACTAATGTGGTGAAACAAATGATGCCAAAAGGTAGCACATGTACAAAAAAGCAAACAGGTATGATAAATTCAGTTTATTCTTAGACATAATTAGAAAAAGTTTCAATATCTACCTCAAATCACAATAAGAGTTTTTTGTTCTTCACCTAATCCCAATATTACAGTTCCACTACACTTCAATGGTTTTATCAACAAGTCCTTTACTGTTAAGGTTACATTTTTCTGGAACTCTTCCTCTGATGACATCCACTTTATTTGTTATCTTATCAAAGTGAATACATTAAAAGATTAAAATAAAAATGTATAAATAAAAAATTAATAATTTTAAGTGTATCATTCACGACCTGTATATGCTGGTGGCTTAGGACCGTGATTTGTGGCATTTCTTGGGGGAAGCCTACGTTCAGCAGTGGACTTGTGAAGCGCTGTAATGATGACGGTGGTGAAATAAAATTCTAAAAATTAAGTTATATGATAATATAGATCACTTTTGAATTATGATTATACTAAACTGTCGTAAACAGTAGCCATACAGCATTAATACATACAATACAGAAGTATACATTATATATTTATTCTTTAATTTTGGGTTTATGTATAAGAACAAAATTCACAAATATTGTTGGTTTTCAGAAACAGAAATCTAATGCTGATGTGGTGAGACAAATGTTGACAGAAGATACAAAATGTACACATTGGCAAAAAGGTATGATAAATTCAGTTTATTCTTAGACATTAAGTAAGTTTCAACATATCTATTATATCTATATTCAGCATATTATCCTCAAATCACGGTAAGAGTTCTTTGTTCTTCATCAAATCTAAAGATTACAGTTCCACTACACTTCAATGGTTTTATCAACAACTCCTTTAGTATTAAGGTTACACTTATTTGGAACTCCGTGCCTGAAGACATTGAGAAATCTCCTGATAATGGATGTATACAGTGTTAATCTTTATATGTTTTTTATTTCTTATTTACTGCATCTACCACTTTATTTTCACCACACCATGGGTTGACCAATAAAAAATGGCAACTGCCATGATGCCACCCTTTGTTACCTTAATATAAATAATATACAATTTATGATTATCATTAAGTCATAAAATATGAATATTGAACTTTATTTTTATTTATTTCTTTTCAGGTTACGTGGTGTAGAAAATGAAATTAAAGAAGAGAAGATGTTTTTTAATTTTTGTAAAAGAATTCCCAGGTTTACCCCTAATGAAAAATAAATAGCATTGCTTCTAATAAAAAATGACTTGAAAGTAAAATATTAAGCACTTAAATATGATTCCTGTGGTTTAATTTGCTTTATTTAATGAACTGTAAATATTGCTCTGTTTCGTCAAATTGTACTTATTTATGTAAAATGTTATGTACAATTTTCTAATTTGTATATATGACTTAATGTGCCTTTAATTTAATCCTAAGATTACGTTTGTATGTATATGATGTTGGTGTGCTTGAATAAAAAATAAATAAGTTAGATGTATTATAATTGTTTCATTAAGTATTATTATTCCTGTATAATGCACTTATGTCGATATCGACAAAATAAGAACACCACTAAACATCGATATCGATAATTAGAAGGCTGTGTGCTTGCAATCCCTAAGCTATACTAAATTGTATAGTCATGACGTCATTACTCTTCTGTCAAATTGGGCGACTGCAGCGCCAAAAGGCGTAGTTGGGAAACTTGACTAAAATGGAAGGTACTCCGGGTTTAACAATGACATCGGGACGTCAGTCACCTCAGTCCCCCGTAACCATGGGTAGCTTGCTACATATTTATTTATCTATGGACCATGGGTGCTGGAAAGTAACCGAAACTTCGGGCATTAAAAATAAAAATAATTGAAATTCAAATTTAACGCGATAAAATCCGTAAAAGTAGTTTTAATCAATGTGTAGTGTCCGCGTAAATATAAGAAATCATTATGTAATCCTATCTATATAAATGAAAATAATATTCCCCAAAGTTAAGATGTTTCGCCCTAATACCCACCAAAACCTTATCGCTATGTAAGTTAAGTTTTTCCTATGCCTAATTGCATTAAACAGATTCAAAATGTTTGTTACTCCTTCAAGCTATAACGACTAAACAGATTTGGATACTCTGATTTAATACAAGTTACGTTTGTCCCGGAAAATTAAAAAGTTATAAGGAACTTTTTAATTTTCCCCTATCCACGTGGTCACAAGTCGCGGGTATCATTTAGATAACAAGTAAAATAAGTAAATATATTTTAAATATAATAATTAAAGGAAGTTTTATTATAGACGTATCTATAGTTAATTTTTTTTTGTTGAATTTATTTCATCTAAGAACGAAAATTGTTCATTCACATTTTTATTGTAATAGTACGAAATCTCCTTTAGTTAAGTGTTTAATGATAAATTTTAATGCTTCTTCAATGAATAATAATGAAAAATTATCGATATCGATCCGCACATCACAGTCCCATTACACATCAACATGACACTATATTAAATTTAACAACCCTACAGTTTTCGCCTGGATTACAATAGCAAATCCCTGTAAAATAATCTCAAATCTGGAATCAAATGATAAGAAAAAAAAATATGTAGACTGATTTTTGATCTAACTTTGAAATTAATATGATATTTTCATTTATCAGTATGTAAAAGATGTTTTAAATATACTAAGATAGATAGAGTCTTATTTAAGGGTACTCATAATACGTTTTGCTGGTTCTATTTAAAGTGGTTTTTGGGCCATTTCGCTTTTTTGGAATTTATGAAATACACCGTTACTGTTACGTCATTTTAGCAGTTCATAAATGACCACTCTGTGATCCGTATTATGAAAACAAACCGATTTTTGATTTTTTGTAGATACTTTTACCTGATTCCTATACCGCGTTATAGCATAGTATTGTTATGAGCTTAGGGTTCGTGACAATAAAAACTGCCGATTGAATTACCAAAATTTACACTTTTATTAGAGAACACCAATTAAAACTTAAATCACACTAATAATTATTCACACTTAACGCTTTAGTTCAATTTATTTCACTCCGAAATCTTCGTTCGTATCGCCAATTCAATGCTGCCCCGGTGGCTGGCTTCAACGCCTTTATATACGCATTTTCTGGAAAGCTCTCCTCGCACTGTTCCTCGATACTAGATGGCGCTAGCGCCAGGTACAAGACATCAACTTAGGCGCGCAACAGTATTACGGTCCTGTTAACACCCTTTTCGTCCGGACTAATAAACTTATAAATATTATTGCCATAACATATAGCTATCCTAGGATATACGCATTATTGGAATAAGCTTAGGCTTAGGCAAGTTTCAAAAAATCATGAGAAAAGGTTGATAAATTCTTTCATATATTTTTCTCATAAAGGTAATTAGTGAGTAGAACAACAGGGAAATTTCTCATCAGTTCTAAAATTTTTTACTTAAAACATTCTGAAGATGACTGGCAAACTACTGCATTTAATAAACTGTTTTGTAATTTTTTTTAAATGTTATGTATGTTTTTTTAATTATAATTTGTATTTTGAATAAATAAAAAGAAATTTTTATTCAGTGCTGGGATAGGCAACCCAAAAAATACTTCAAATAAAACAAAACAAAAAAAGAACCACGTTTAAATTTTCCCGTCACACGAGACAAGTGCAGGTGAGCTTATTATAGTTAGTGGGTATATATTACGTTTATTTTAATTTATATGAAGTTGTCGCTCTTTTCCGTAGTAGTAGTAATAGTGTCCCGTGGTTTAGGGATGATAGTTGTTGTGGAAACATCGATGATGTCATGGATGTTGGATTCTATACCTCAACATCGATGTTCGATGTTTATCCTACTCAAACATCGATGTTTTTGCAAATGTATTTAATAGGTTTAAATTAAATGAATAAAAAATTGACATGTTGTTTACAGTAAATTATTAATGAAAAAAGAAATTATTAATCAATGTACTTAGTTTAAAACAATTGTTAAAAAAATTGGAAGAAGTTAACGAATATTTCGTTCATTTGTTATACAGTTTAATATATTTTGCTATTGATTGAAGAGATAGCAATTTTGACAAGGAAGTACCTTTTAATCTATTTCTCCGTTGATAAAGAGTTGAGCTAGCTTTTGAAAATAGCCGTCTAATAATCTATTATGGGTTCATTGACATCGACGTTTCGATATTTGACATGTGGCAATATCGATGTTAAAACATCGATGATTTAATTTTTAACATCGATGATTATCGTACATTTCTACCACAAACTAATAAGAGTATGCATATCGTAGACAGATAAACCTATAGACTAATGATTAGCGTGGCCTCGAATGAGAAAGGGCGATAACGTAGTTTTAAGTTATACAATAATCTTTATGACTTTTAAACATATTTAGATAATATTTTTAATTGTTCTAAGAACTTAACTGAACAAGACTCAATCTTAAGCTCACAAAATACTTTTTTCTCACTTAAACCAACTTGTAAACTCCTTAGATCGCTACGAACTGTCAAAGTTGTTTAGCAAAGTGTAGCTTGCTAAATAAAAAAACCGGCACGGAGAAAGGGACAAACAATCACACCGCTCTGTCTCACTTTTATGCAAGACGTATGCGTAAATCTATCTTTTTCGTATGTGAATGCGAAAGAAGGCGTCAATTTATCTATAGGTTTCTCTGTCTACGATGCATATGCAGTAATCTATGCTACTCAGTGTTTCCACTTTAAGGGATTTTTCGCTTTTTTAGGGAAAACTAAAAATTGTATATGACTGGGATTATTTTAATAAGACAGGAATTTAGGGAAATTCGGAGAAAAATCAAAACTTATGATGGTAACCCTGTTGTAGTCTGTACAAACTCTATAGTGCCACCACCCGCGGTTTATTTTTGAAAGGGGAATCCCCCGTACTATTTATGAATGTAATCTGTCCAATTTTAATTTGTCATTTATAATATCAGTTCCGTTGTTTTAGATGTAGTCGGAACTTAGTCACATTATGTATACCTACCAAGGCTTGCTTGTATTGATTAGTTTGGTTTCATTTACTTACTGCACTCCGAATTGTGCCCCCGAATACAAAAAATATTGAATTTTTATTTTTGATTAAATTGTAAGTAATTTAAAATGGAAAAAGATGATGAAACACCATCCTCTTCGACTTTAAATTCAGCAAGTAAAGCAAGAAAATACGTGCAAAAATTTAAAACTTCTTGTGTTTAACCTGCCTGTAACCTTAACCTGATTTTAAATCTTGGCTGAAGAAATCTGATAAAGGTGAGACAAAAGCTTACTGTAAAATATGTGATTGTGATCTTGTATGTGGAATGTCCGAATTACTTTAACATAAAAACAGTGCCAAACACACCAAAAACGTGGCTGTTATTTCGCAATGTGGGAGAATGTCAACATTTTTTGAACAAAAATCAGACGCACGCCACTAATGTATTATGGAATGTAAAATACAATGGAATTAAAAATATGCGGCTTTCTTGCGAAACTTGTTCTACCAATATGTTTTGTCGATTATTTTGTATCGCTGCTACGAAACTTGTTTCCAGAATAGAAATGTTTAGAAGACGTGCATCTAGGAAAACAAAAAGCAACAAATATTTTACGTCAAGTCACAGGAGCGACCAATAAAGAAGAAGTGATTGATATCATGAAGAATAGCTATTTTAATATAATAATAGATGAAATAACAGATCTTTCTCACCTCAATAATGATCATATATACGTAGGTATGGAAACACATGCGATACTTGAAGATATAAAGACAAAATCCCTAATAGAAGAAGTGAACAAATTTAAGCTAGTTGTGGTAAATTTTATGTGGAAATAGTATTGCAAATCCAAAAGCGGTTCGACTTGAATGAGACACTTTTTGATTTATTGAAGTATGTGGATCCAAAAATAGCAAGACATCTGGAGAAACAATCAGTGAAAGATATGTTTGATAAAAACTTTTTAACGACAAAATGCAACATGCAAAAAGCTGATAACGAATGGAGAAATCAAGCTCTTATAGACTCTTATAGGCTCTTATAGACAAAATGCTTTACATTTTGGAGTTGAAAGATGCCAGCTGAGATTTATTGGAATAAGGTTCTAAGCATGAAAGATTATCATGGTAATTTCATTTACGAAAATCTTGAAGTAGTTATTTCAGTTTTAATAGCAGTTCCATCTTCAAATACTGAGGTAAAAAGTTTTTTATTATTCTATAAAATATAAAAACAGATAAAAGAAATAAACTTTCTAACCAAACTCCGAACAGCTTGTTTCATACAATGTTCGGAATGCAAGCAAATTGCTCAATTTTAGAACCCAACAGTGCCATGATAAGTGCAGCAAAACATTACAAAAGTAATGCTTCAGCTTCTAAATCTTCTTTCTGATCTGGTTTTTGGTGATTGATATTTTGTTGATTTATTAATAAATACTCAAAATAATAAATTATTGTTTAATTTCTCGAATAAAAATATGCTCCTTAAAAATAAGATTGTTTAGGGAATTTTAGGGATAAATCCTAAAAAATAGGGATAAACCAAAATTGTAAGTGGAAGCACTGATTGACTACATATTAGGCATGTCGATTTACTCTTAAAAAAATCGATCTTTGAATCGATTTGAATCGAAGGTACTTGAATCGATTATCGATTAAATCGAGGATTATAAGATCGATCTTCGATTAATCGCGACATTTTCAAACATGAAATTTCAAGAATTTTTTATTTTTTTCTTAAACTTCTAAACTGTAATATTTTTTTTTAAATAATATATTAGTAATCTTATTGATTAACATTACTAATATTCCTTTTAACCACTCCTGGTAAGCTTGAAACGCTTGTGTTAGGAGTGGTTCGCACATACTCCACTCTACCATTTTTTTACAAAGTGATTCCACGTAACACTTTTATTTGACATTTTAGGCTAAAAACAACAACAATACTTTAACAAAAATGCAAACTGCATGATTTCTCGATAAATCTGTTTCAATCTAGTAACTCACTATTTATCATATTGAAATGAATGCTACACTAACACAATACTGGGTATTTCCTTACTATAAACCTCTATAAACTTCATCGTACGGTATAATATTTATTTACAGTATCTAGGTATTTAAAAAGAATTCTGTCTGTATTTACAGCTCACAGTATGTATATTTTTGATAATAAATAATGTAAATTCACCAGTTCACAGTTCGAGCAGGTTCACAGCTATTATATTATATTATATTATAGTACAGGAGGTGAAATATAATATGAAAATATCTATATATATATAAAAATATTTATAGTTTGGGATGTAATATATATTATATCTCAGTGGAAACGGTTCCATTTTAAAGTACGGCGAGCGATATTAATTTCTATCTCGAGATGTAATATAAATTACATTAAATCCCTTAGTGGAAAGTGAGCTTAAGAATTTTGGAAGTGAAAATGAAATGACAACTTTTCGATATTGTTGGATGCGTTCATAAACATTTATTTTATTCAAATATATATTGCGTTCAAATTATCAACCAAGTACGACCGGTTGTTTTTGCGTCCCCCAACAGCAAAAAATTAAAAAACTGTGGTATCTTACCCCAGCCAGTTTGGGAATTTTGGCTAGTTCTTGAATCAAATGAATCAGTCCGATTCAAGAGGTTTTTGGATCGATTCAGTGAATCGATGCGGTCCTTCGAATCGATCTAAAAAATCGATAATTTTACTCCAAAGAATCGATTTTTCGATTAATCGATTTTAGATCGACATGCCTACTACATATGCTTTTGACATTTTGACCGTGAACACTGAACAGAGAATTTTGACATTGTGAATTGCCACAAAATAAGAGTTATGAGTTGTGACACAGAGTACTTTCTAATATACTGAAAAGTTGTGAATTGCGAATAAAACACCACAGAGAACTTTTTGTATACCTGTAAATCACTATAATACTATTTATTTTTCTAAATCTGTAATGTAAAACATAATCCCGAAATCTTTACTAAAATTCTAAGCTTGCATTGCCCAAAGTTAAAAATAATTATGAGGTTCAGCGAAAGCAATTTAATTTGGTATTTGCAATACTTCGGACTACCATTATCCTTAGGAATGGTGGTTTATAAACTTTTATACAAATCGTCTTTGTGGAGTCGAAAAGTTACGCTAAAAGGAAAGGTGAGAATTAGCAAACAAATGGCAAGCAAACGTAAATTACTTAGTAGGCAAATTAGCATTCCTATTACTTTAAGTAAACTGGAATTCACTATTAATATTTAAGTCCACTCCACCCAATTTTCAATCTTTCCATTGTTGTACACTAGGTACATTTTATTATGAGAAAAAATAATTTGATGAATTGATCATATTGTAACAATTTGCAACTGAGTTTGCAATGTATTGTTTATATTAGAGTGTACACATAAAACAAGAGACTTACTTCTACTTAGGCAAATCCAATGCAATGCTAATGTCATAAGGCTTAAGGCAGGTTTACACATAGTCTTAAAGTTATGTAGTTTTAAATATACTATAAGCATAACTTAAAAATACTATATTTACTGAATTCAAATTAGTACCAAGCTCTGTTATTGTTAGATACTTTGATGTTATTATGTAACATACTTGTTTTAACAAGTTTTAGAGCCTTTGTTTTGTTTTATAAAAAATCATTTATTTTTTGGTTAATCAGGTAGTAGTAATTACTGGAGCAAGTTCTGGAATTGGGGAAGCACTAGCTCATGTTTTCTACGATCACGGATGTAGAGTAGTACTTGCATCACGAAGAAAATCGGAACTTGAAAGAGTGAAACAAGAACTAATGTCAAAGAAAATTGTAAGTAATTGGTTTGAGTACATTACAGTGCATAGGTTAAGTTCTTAATATAGCCTCGTGCACTTATTCTCTTTGAGGCCATAAGTCTATTTAAAAAAACTATATCAATAACATGTTTTCTGTTACTCTTAACATATATCTTTTTAATTTTTCCAGGCCTCCAGTATAGAACCTATTGTGTTGGAATTAGACCTTGCTGATCTTGATCATTCAGAAGCATTTATTAATAAGGTTTATGACACATTTAGCCATATTGATATATTAATTAATAATGGAGGAATTTCTCATCGTGGCTCAATATTACACACAAAACTTGAAGTATTCAAACAAATCATGTGCATAAACTACTTTGGATCTGTTGCCTTAACAAAAGGTAGTGTTGTTCTATTATTACACCTTTATAATTACTCACTTCTGCAGCATACATTTGCTGTCACACTGTATTAATTATAGTGATGGGCCGAATATTCGTTTAATATTCGGTATTGGGCATATTCGGCAGCTTTACCGAATATTCATATTCAGCTAAATCATCGAACATTCGTTAAAGTGGTACTCAAGTTGTCCACTGTATTGAAATGTACGAATTGAGTAATGCCATGTCTTTCATAATTTTACTGTTGAAAGTATATTTATTTATGGGTTAAATCTACTTGTATAGGCCGTAGATTTATTTCCAATTATAGCAAATAGAAAGCTTGATAAAATTTTGTTTGGAATCAAACAAATAAACATTACAATACATTAGTACATTTAACGTTACTTTGTTCGTCAGTTTCTTTAAAATAGGTCCAAATAGTAGGTCTCCTGCCACTCATTTTTATCATATACTTATCAATTTTCACTAAGAATCCTTTTTTTTTACAAAAATAGTCAAAACATAAGCATGTGCCAGTAATTTGCTCAGTACTAGATGATGCAATATCAAGTCAGGTGTGACGGGGGAGTGGTGGGCAGGGTCCGGCGCTAATCCCGCACGCTTTACGGTGACAAGTTTCAACATAAATTGTCTAGGTATCGACAAGCCTCTATCACTCTTGCTACCTACGTGAAATAATTACCTAAAATCGCGACGCGCCCAGGCGAAATAACGCAGTCAGGGCTAGCGCGTTAGAGGCGATTGAACGTTAAAGTTTTTAACGCTGCTTACGTAAATATTTTTTTTTGTAAGTACTTGTTGAAATAGTTTTTGTTTAGTGTTTAGTATATTTAATTATAGGATAAAATAGTTCAAAAGTTTCAATGTAATTTAAGAACTATATATTATGTATATTACCCATTATTTAATAAATTATAATATGGCAAAACGTCATTCCTACTATAATTGTTGTGTAGATAGATGCTAAATGACCAACAAAATATTTCAGATATATCATTCTTTATTACTGAAGGATTTTAGTAGGAAGTTATGAAACGTGAATTTATTAAATTTTTATTGTTAGAGAGGTACTTATAGCAAAAAAAATTAAGTAATAATTTATTTAATATCTACAAACTTTATTACAAAATTTAGTGGAAATTTACTTCACTATTCAAGTATCTACTTACGTACATATACTTGCCTTTTGTATTAAAATATTTTAAGCTGTTATTTTAGCTTAAAATATTTTAAGCTAAAATAAGACAAAACACTGAAATAAAAAAAACTTTGTTTACCAACAAAATTTTTAACTAAGTAGAGTACGATTACATTTCTGTTAGGAATCGTATTTCAAGTTTATTTGTTGTTTACCCTATCTACCTTTTCCATCCGAACCAAGCGTCCCGATTCCCGACGAATGGCCTTGCAAGTTGCATGCGTTAGGCATTGCAGAACTCAAGTAGGTGCGAAAATATGGTCGGTCGATCATAGAATAGGTATTTCACCTATGTAACCTAATTATTATTTCGCAATTTATTTTGTTACTCTTTATTGACATCCCTCCATAACAACGGAAAGTCCCCCGTAACATAGGAAGAGGAAAATGTGCAAAGTAATACGGACACTCTCGCGCAGCCATAAAGTTTTATTTAGCCCGCGAGCGCGATTTATCTGATTAATAATAATTATGTAGGCTATTAAACGCCGGCAAGCAGTAAACATTAAAAGAGTGAAACTTCTGTACGTAGTACTATTATTTATTCTGTGGTATCGAGGTGATCCTACCGAATAATCTTCGGCTGAATATTCGGTTCGGTAAAAATTTTACCGAACCTTCGGCCAACTATTCGTATTCGGTGAAATCCATATTCGGCCCACCCCTAATTAATTAATTCATTCTTTGTCCAAACCATCAAAGCATTTCTTTCTTAATCCTGGTCACATTTTGCAAAACCACGATTTCTCATTCGATCATTCACTTTTATTTTTGATATTTTTACTTTAATGCTTTTTTTTATAGAAGAAGTGGCAAACGAGCATGCAACTCACCTGATGTTAAGTGACTGCCGCTCATGATCAACCGAAACACCAGGGGAATCGCAGGTGCGTTTAGAAAGGAGTAAGCTCTTTTCTTGAAGGTCCCCAGGTTGTATCGGTCCGGAAAAATCGCCGGTAGTAAACTATTCCACAGAGAGGTTGTACGCGGAAGAAAACCCCTTTTGAAACCTACAGTGGTGAACCGCCAGCATCCAGATGGTGTGGATGGTATCGGGACGTTTTCCGCGTAGTGCTTTCACGAAATTTGGCGGCTGGGATTAATCCGAACGATTCCTCAGAGCAACTCCCCATGGTATATGCGAAAGAAAATGCATAGATGCAACATCTCTTCGCAGCGCCAGTGAATCGAGCCGATCGAAAAGCACTCGGTCGTTGACGATTCGAGCCGCTCTGCGCTGGATGCGGTCAAGTGGAAAAAGCTGGTACTGGGGAGCCTCAGCCCAGAGATGGGAACAGTATTCCATGTGCGGCCGAACCTGCGCCTTGTAAAGTTGCAGGCGGTGTGCCGGCATGAAATACTATCCCGCTCTGCTGAGCACGCCAAGCTTCTTAGAGCTAATTCTTTTTAGCGGTTAACGCGCAAACTTAAACTAAAACCATTGAACAATCACACGAACGTACAAATAGACTGGCATACCTCAATATGTTAGCAATGCATGGCATACTTCCAGGACATGTATTGCCTACAAGGAAACACAACTGCTTGGACCATTTTATGCTGAAAATAGATATTAATAGACACTTGGCCTCCATTATAGTTTTTGACACCACTATAACCGATCATCATATGATATTTCTAAAATTGACCAATACCAATACACAAAATGGAAACCAAAATAAAGATAACATTAAAAATAATAATAATAATAAATATAAGACAATTACAAATTATGAAAATGCACTGTTAAGCCTAAAAGAAAGTAATCTAGCTAATTTATTACTATATGAGAATCCCACAGAATTAACTAACACACTTATTAATAAATTGCAGCAATGTTTAATGGACAACACTTTTTCAAAACGCATTCCCTCCAAGGATCGATTAATTAAACCATGGATTACACCAGGTATTTTAATGTGTATTCGAAATAGGAATGACATGCAACGAAAATTACGTGCTGATCCATATAATGATATCTTAAAAATAACTTACAAAAGATACCGTAATTTTTGTAATCACATAATTAAAAAATCTAAGATTCAATATGATAAAGAACTCGTGATTAAACATAGGAAAAACCCACGGACTTTATGGCATACAATAAATAATATAACAAGCCGTAACAAAAGAAAAACAAATAGTCTGGAGTTGTTAGACATACACGCTTCCCCACAGTTGTCTGTTGATCATGTATGCGATTTCTTCGCTAATGTTGGCAAAACCTTAGCTTAGGATATTCTAACAAACCCTTATACACAACAAGTTGGTGCTAGCAATGGTTGTTTTAACTCACCTGTAGCGTCTATGTTTTTTCATGAAACCGATCCTGAAGAGGTTCACAAAATTTTGATGAGCCTGAAATCTGAGAGCGCCCCAGGCTGGGATAATGTATCTACTCAATTCTTAAAACAAGCGAACGATCAAGTAGCGCCCATAATTTCGCACCTTGCTAACCCCTGTTTTAAACATGGGATCTTCCCAGCGGGGCTCAAAAAGGCAATAATAACGCCGGTGTATAAGAATGGTGACAGAGAAGATGTATCTAAATATAGGCCAATTTCAGTTTTAACTACCATTTCAAAAATTCTAGAGAAATTAATCAACAAGAGACTTATAAATTATTTAAATAAAATTGATTTTCTTTCAAAATCGCAATACGGCTTTCGGCAAAATCTTTCAACTGAAGATGCAGTCACAGCATTAACGACACATATCGTTAACAATATCGACAGGGGAAAGAAATGTATTGCAGTGTTTCTGGATTTAAAAAAAGCATTTGATACTGTCTCTGTCCCCATTCTTATACAAAGGCTGGAGAGTATTGGCATAAGAGGAGTGGCACTTGCGCTATTATCAGACTACCTCAATGAGCGCAAACAATGCGTGAAAATAGGCCAATACATTAGTAGCCCATGTGATGTGACGTATGGTGTCCCACAGGGAAGTGTCCTTGGGCCGACTCTATTCTTGACTTACATCAATAGCCTCTGCAATATGAGTATTAACGCGGGACAAGTTTTTTCTTATGCAAACGACACTGCCATTGTTTTCACTGGCAACACATGGGATTCGGTACGTCAAGTCATGGAGGAGGGGCTAGTCAGGGTAGCTAACTGGTTAAAATCCAACCTCTTAACATTGAATACGGACAAAACAAACTACATAGCATTCACAAAATATAATTCAACGCAACTTGAACATAATTTCAAAATTCAAATTCATGAGTGTAACAACCTTCGAATAAATTGCTCTTGCAAAACCATTTCCAAAGTTAACAATACAAAGTATTTGGGAGTTGTAGTTGACCAGAGGTTATCCTGGCACGCCCATCTAGAACTAATGATGGGAAGAGTCAGAAAACTTATATGGGTTTTTAAAAGGCTGAGACATGTTACTGACAAGAAACTATTAAAACTAATTTATGTTTCATTGGCTCAGTCACTATTGACCTACTGTATCCCAGTCTGGGGTGGTGCTAGTAAGACGCAGTTTCTCGATTTAGAAAGAGCACAAAGAGCACTACTAAAGGTAATGAGCTTTAAACCCTATAGGTATCCTACTGAAAACCTATACAAAATAAGTGATGTTCTTACAGTTACGCAATTGTATATATTAAATATAATTCTAAAATGTCACAAAACGCTTCCATATGATCCTTCCAAAATATCTAGAAGACGAAAGCATAATGTAGCTCCCATTGCTACAATCAAGTCAGGTTATGCTAGGAGGCAGTTTACGGTTCGATCTGCTTATTTATATAATAAAGTTAATAAAGTTTTAAACATTTACCAAATGACTAAATACAAGTGCAAAATGAGTTTGACAGCACTATTAAAAACTTGGAGTTATGATAAAACTGAGTCTTTCATACAGAACTCAAACTAAGACATTCTTTGATTACATTTTACACACAATAGAAGTTTGATTTAAAAATAATATTTTATTTAATAAAATAGGAATGATAAAACTCACCTAAACTTAATCCCTTGGGGCCTTAATCTAAATGAAATTTTATAATAACCCATAAAGCTCAAAATCACACACACGCACACACATACACACACACACATACAACACACACACACACACACACACACACACACACACACTTTAAAATGTAAATTAAAAATATGTTTTTAGATTAAGTATTGAAGTAAGTAGGTATCACATTAGTGTTCGTTAATAAATGTTACGGAGAGGGGGGATTTCTAACACAAGTATTTATTTACTTAAAAGAAGTCCTCATTCACAACACTGCTATGTAAAAACTCTGATACTGAATAAATTATTTGATTTGATTTTGATTTGAAACTTGTGTCTTCTGGGGGTTAAACTGGACTAGATTTAGTCGTCCCCAATCCGAGACTCTGTTCAGCAAAGACTCGACTTCAGACACAAGTTTGTCCCGGTACTCGGGGACGTTTTCCGAGAAATATTGGCACGGCCAGTGTAAAGGCCATCACCAGTGCTGTCATCTGCATAGCAATGAATGTTACGGGTTTGCAACATATCATTGATATGCAGAAGAAACAGCCTTGACGATAGCACGCAGCCTTGTGGAACAGCAGCATTAATAGGCTTGTAATCGGAGCTTGCACCGTCTACAACGACCTTGATGCTCCGATCTGCAAGAAAGCTGGTGATCCAATCGCACAATTTCTCGGGCAGCCCATAGGAAGGGAGCTTCGAAAGAAGCGCTTTGTGTCAAACCTGATCGAAGGCCTTCGCAATGTCCAAACTAACGGCCAACGCCTCCGCCCATCTGTGAGTTAGGTAGACACAAGCTGACCGACCACGGCGAAAACCGTATTGGCGATCACTAATCAGCTGGTGATCCTCAAGGTACCTCATGAGCTGGTAGTTAACAATAGATTCCATTGTTTTTGAGAACAAGGAGGTGATGGCGATAGGCCGGTAGTTGGATGGGTCTGAGCGGTCGCCTTTTTTTAGGGATCGGGTGGACGAAAGCCGTCTTCCATGATTTTGGGACTACGCCTAGGGAGTAGGAGTACCGGAAAAGACGCGTTAAAACCCCTGCCAACTCTGGAGCACACGACCTCAGCACAATTGAGGGGATTCCGTCAGGCCCACTCGACTTGTGGATGTCCAGGGAGAGGAGTGCTTTGCGAACCGCGCGCTGTGTGAACTGCACTTCCGGCATGGAGCACTCCCACCGCGGGATGGTCGGCGGCGTACTCCCCCCGTCATCGAGAGTTGGACGCAAAGAAAGAGCCTAGCAGATCGGCTTTCTCCTTTGCGGTATGGGCCAGTGAGTCGTCCTCCCTGTGCAGAGATGGAAGAGATGGCTGACAGAAATTCCCCTGGACAGCCTTGGCGAGAGACCAGAATGCACGGGTTCCAGAAGGAAGGCGAACTAGTTTCTCGCCAATTCTGCCTATGTGCTCTGACTTTGCCTTGGCAATGACTCTTTTGAAGGACCTAGAGGCGGAATTATACTTTTTTTTAGGACGCTGGTGTTAATATCCCGCGACGTTGATGCGTCAGCCCAGGCTTGGTAGCACTCCTGCTTAGCATGATGCTATTTTACAGGAGCGACCAAACCATGGCTGAGATTTGCCTCCAATGGGCACCACAGAGGAAGGAATAAAAAGTTCCATACCCTGAAGTACCGCATCAGCGACAGAATCCGCATCAACGTTGGGATCGTCCGGCGAGAAGCAAACCCGCCCCCAAGGATAGGATGCAAAGAAAGACCGCATCCCATCCCAATCGGCTGACCTATAGTACCAAACACGGCGGCAGCCTGCAGAATGCAACTGCGATTTCAGCGTGAGTGGCACCATACTCCGGGCAAGACAATGTTCCGAGGAGCCTAAAGGGACGTCGACGGAAATTTGATATCCGTCCGAGTGAGAGGTCAGCAGAAGGTCCAACAGGAAGGTGCATGATCCTCCACATCTGGAATCCGTGTAGGCGAGGTAACCAGTTATGTCAGAGCATATGCCAAGGCAAAATCATGAACAGATGATCGGTTAAATGTGAACCAAGCCATTCGGCGTGATGGGCGTTAAAGTCGTCGAGGATCACGATCTCTGCGGGGGGATCTGATGTGGCAACGAATCTGTAGCCATTTGGACGTGGTCTAAGAGTCGGTCTGTTTCGGCATTATCGCTATGGGACCTATAGAGGCACCCGTAGACGCGTGGATGGTGGTAGACCTTCAAGACTGCCGCAGCGTCGAGAACAGATGTCCTCTCTGACACCTGCGTCTCGGTCAGAAGGAGCAGAGCCGACCTCGCCGTCTCGAGATGGTAGTAGACGGCGTTTAGGTTAGAGTGAAGTCCCCTGATATTGCAGAAATTCACGGATAGCGTGGCAGCGGTCGCCATGGTCTTGTTGCTCCGTTTGCCCCGAGCAGTTGTAGTCTTGAGTGGAATTTTGCCCCCCCTCCCCAGAATAGGCGGGGCAGCCTGAGCACCCACGCTCAGGAGTGGAGAGACATGGTCGTGGATGCTCAGCGAGGGATTCTCCAGGGGTGCTGGTACCCTCCTGGGGTAGTCTATCATCATTTAATTCCGCTACCATGTTGATGGGGTGGGATGGGGGGTGGGGGATTTGGGCCTCCTTGTATGATGTCCTCCTTGTTCCATACCGGCACTTAACACTCGGTAAGCCACAGGGTAAACCACAGCATTGTGAATTGCCATACATGTATTTTTTGTCACATTTTGTCTTCCAACAATAAAGTGAAGAGCCCAATCATTATGTGTCCTGCATTCACTGTTTGTTCTGTATCATTATTTTTCTTTCGTCAAAATAATCATTCTTCAATACCTATATTTTCCAAGGAAACCATTTCTGAAACTGATTTGATTAGTAATACATTTTATATGTCACTGTTATGATAAAATGACAATGAGGAAACCCTCTACCAAAATCTATTAAAGACTTATATCTGAATTGCTATAATATTTCTGTTTAATTTTTTAGCTACTCTACCAAAAATGGTTGAAAGGAAATGTGGTCATATAGTTTTCGTTAGTTCTGTGCAAGGATTAGTAGGTTTACCAGACCGCTCTGCTTATGCTGCGTCAAAACATGCCATGCAGGCATTTGGTGATTCATTACGTGCTGAAATGAAACAACACAACATTGATGTATCTGTGATAAGTCCAGGATATGTTAAAACTTCAGTTTCCCTCAATGCTCTCACGGGGACTGGTGAGCGACATGGAGGTTAGTGTTATAAGTGCTTACTGCATCAATCACTTACTTGTAGCTTATTTTGATATATTAATGATTAGAAATTAATTAAGAATAACAAACAAACCATGTGGTGGGTGTGGTAGAATATACACTACTCCATATCGTCCCGTAGGTGCCGTAAGAGGTGACAGAAGGAAACAAACAGAGACAAGGCAGCAGCATCTTCCTGATAGCTATACAAAATAAAAAACTGTGGTAGCCAACCCACATGCGAAGCATGGCAACCATGACGAAATCCCCTCTATGAGGCAATCTATGGGGGAGGGCTTGTTTAGCAGTGTACTTTTCTGGATAATGGAGCAAACAATTTTGCAAAGAGTATTCTGGGCATTATATCAACTTTGTCTCTAAGTGCCAACTTCAACCTTTTTTTTAATAGGAAAAGGGTGACAAGCGAGCACACAGTCCACCTGAATGTAAGTGGTTGTTGTGGCCCATAGACATCTACATCTATCCTTGTTTGTGAATCAAAATGAAGATGCATTGTCAGCCTTGAGACTACGATGGAATGCCTCTTTTCCAGTAAAAAGGGTATCCGGTTCTCTACACTCACCATACGAAACACAGCAGCATTAAGCTGCTATTTGACGCTGATATTCTGTGAGAGCGTGGTCCTTCCCTGGTCGAGCCGACCCATTCGTGCTATAACCATACAATTAATATAGCTGCAGCATGGCTCTACCACGTTAAAAAACTACCTGTAATGCATCCTATTAACTAATGAGCCACTGGCAATTGACTTCAACTGATGCTGTAAAACCCATTCGAATATGCCAAACTTAAATATGCTATAATAATTTGCTGATGTTGAGCAACATCAATAGTGGATGGTTTTTAGCACTGAGCTTAGCAAGTCTTAAGTCTGTCAAGCATGCTGAGTATTGGAAATCATTCAAGAAATGTGTTAAATTGAATAGGTATAATTTACAAGAGGCAGAGAAGATGCAAAAGACAACTATCAATTATGGTGACTATGTATATATAAATATATTCTTGTATGAACTGTATATTTAAATATGGGTTTTCAATATTTCAGTTATGGACAAGAGCACTGCAGCTGGCTTCACCCCAGAATATGTTGCTTCGAAGATTTTGGACACAGTTGTAAATAAAGATAATGAACTAATAATTTCTCAGTTTATAGGACATTTTGCTATATTTGTACGACGAACTTTACCGTCATTATATTTTTATTTGACTGCAAAAAGAGCTACTAAAACTTCGTAATATGTATATTAGTAATGTAACAAGCTCAAGTTTAAGATATAAGAATAGAAGTCATCAGTTTCTGGAAAAATCACTGAAAATATGTAAAACAACATAAGTACACATTGTATATGCCATCTCCCCTTATTTAAATTCAGTTAACACATGATAAGTTTTGATCTTGAAAGGTTGTTATTGATAATAATGACATAATAAGTGTTAGGGATTGTTTTTTATGGAAAAAGGGTGACTAATGAACACACAGTCCACCTGATGGTAAGTAAATGCTGTGGCCCATAGACATCTAGTATTTTAGAGGCCCACTTGTGTAAGTTGTTTTTTTTTAATTCGTGATGTGTCAATTAGACAATCTACATACCATAAATAAATAGTTTTATGGTGGCAAAACACAAAAAAAATTAACTTTCTGGGCGCAAAAATTTGTGGAAAACAAGTGTTAAAATTAAAAATTTCCTACAATCCACTTCAATATAAATATAGTATATAATATATAAATGAGAATATCATCAATGCATTGCAATCAAATATGCATTATTAAGGGTAACTCAAAAACTACTGGTCAGATCTTGATCGAATTTATATGGAACTACACGAAGCGCTAGCTTTTAAATAAAAAAAGAATCATCAAAATCAGTGCACCTAGAAAAAAATTAGATACCTGAGGAACATACCTACATAAAAAATACAGTTGAATCGAGAAACTCCTCCTTTTTTGAAGTCGGTTGAAAATGCAATGTGAGCATTATCTTATTAGTGGGATCTATTAATGTAGCGTCATTGTGATTATTTAAATTATCCATAACCAATTTTTTCCCTTCATCTCTCAAAGTAAGCCGACCGTGCTGTAATTTGTTGTACTTTAGTATGTGCCAAATCGATTTAGAAAAACGGACAATGACCTTTCGGTCGTTTAACCAGGGGCTACAAACCTTCAATATATATGCACTTTTTATATCTAGTACTTTCTTTATTTATAATGATTGATATAATATATATTTATTAACTATCATTAAAAAGTTATGTAAAAGATCGCTGCTATAACAACAAAAAGCATTAATTTATAACACATATAAAGATTCGAGTGATAACGACACCGAATAAGTACGTACTTATTGAAAAGATAAAACTTTATTTTCAATATTATATAAGAACTTTATTTTTATTCGGTGCATGTGGACTGGCCCAAAAAAGTGACGCATCTCTGGCTGGCATTGTCACGTTTATTTTAGACTGAACTGACGTAACGCGCGTTTTGTTTATTTTAAAGGGATGAATTTGCAAAAGCTCAATATGGTGATTATATTGCTTCAATTTTTTTTTAATATATATATATATATATAATTCTGTTATCAAATGAATTGCTGCGTTACTTACCATAAATTGAAATATAAAATATAACACATTTTTCGCGATGTACCGTAAGATTTTACGGTGTTTATGGGAACTACAAACAATATTATTTAAGAAACAAAAAACAAAACATATGTGCTGACCTAGTAGTGTGAATAATATCAGTATTTAAATACTGTTATCACATCTAAATTGAGATTTTGTAAGTTACGCCTTTCGACACTTTGCACATATCTGAGATCATTGTCCGTTTTTCTCAATCGATTTGGCACATACTATAGCGGTTCGCGGTACAAGGTCTTTCCAGGAAGGGCCTATGTCCATAAATGTCATTTTATTTCAATCAAACTATTCACTCGGTTTTCATCACTTAAAAAATGTTCCCTGTAGATCGAATTTAACCTATAGAAAAACGTGGAGGAAAATTAGAAATTACCACATTCGTGTATTTACTTGTATGAAATCGTATTTTCAAAAAAAAAAATATATAAATAAGCAGCGTCTCAAAAATCTTAAAACTTTCTCGTACATATATGTATATGTACAATATGTCAGAAATTATTATTAAATGTAATAAAGAGTTCTAGCTTCGTGATAGAAAAGCCTAGTCAGATAGGATTACCTACATTATATTTAAATATGCTGTAGTCCTATGATTGATAGTGCTTTGCGCACTAATAGCACGACAAAACAAATGAAGGATCCACTGCAATAATGATAAGTGTCCTTTTTTCTTTGTTTTAAAATAATTAGGTTTTAATTTTATAAATGGTGAAAAATATGTTAGATTTAAAGATAAAAAAATAATTTTAATTTTAGTTAAAGATAGGTGTTATAATATTATTACTTTGGCAAATAATTATTATTTGGGTATTATAAATTAAATAAAAATAATATAATCCTAAGTAAGTATTCAAAAATCAGGACTATAAGAATCACTGTCCACTCTGCGTTCACAGTCAATAATTATAGTTGTCCAAATGACTGGTTTAGTTATCTTCTGATTTTGCTTCAGACCTACAGAACTTTTTCAGAAACTGCAAGTCATTATATTTCGCTGTTGATATAGTCAGCATGTCTTGATTGCTAAATCAGGTAATTTAAATTGTCTTTCATTAATACTTGCCTTCGCCGATCGAAAAGAAGCTGGTGTTTTAACCACACTTGGTTCCCATTGACTGTTAATAAAATTTCTGTGAAATATGAGCCGTGGATGTTCTTTCTGGACTCTTAATTCACGTACAGGTCTTATGCGAAATGGACATGTTTTTTTGTAGAACTGTTTTAGAAATGCAGTCCAGCCCTTGAATGCATCTTGTGAATATTCAATGACATTGAAAGATTTCGGTTTCTGTCGAGCTTCACGTATGTGTTCAGCCCATTCATTAGGGAGTTCAATCCTAGCCTTTTGATCTATAAAGGCCATGTTTTGGTCGCAATCCGTATAGCAGTGACCTCTTTTAGGGAATATTACTGTGGCAGACTAAGCGATTGCAACAGTGAACCATGTAGTGTAATAATGTAAAAATGATGTGATTTTTATTTTGACCCACATGAGCCAGAAAATCGTAAGAATCTTGCATATAAAATTAAAGGGATGAGAGGCCACATCATCCGATCCTTTTTTCCAACACTCTCATTGTATGCATAGAAATAACATGAGGAATCAGCAAGGACATGAACATTAAACATAAAATAAGTAAGCTGCCTTTTATAATAAATGTTGTTGGTAGTTATGGTTGGCAAAGGAAGATTTTTTGAGAAATCCATTGCTATGGCGACTGTTGTGGGATACTGCCTAGCCCTCAAAAGAGCTTTTCTCTTTTAATCATAAAATACTTGAGCTCTCTTTTTGTGTGCTAGATTCTCCATTTCCAGCTTTCGAAGTTGAGACAAAATCTGAGATTTTTCATGACTATGAGAAAGAGAAGCAATTTTAATTTCAAGATGTTTTTCCTCTGCTTGAAATTCAAACGTATCGAGACGGAGAAAACAATTGACAAGTTGGCAGGCATTGCGAGGCGATGGACATTTATCATTATTGTCGTGAACACATGTGACGCTGAAATTATTAAAAAATTATTAAAAACATATTTATCTCGGGACTGTAAGCGATATTGTCAAGACTAAGCGAGATTATTAACTGACATGTGACGCTGAAATTATTAAAAAATTATTAAAAACGTATTTATCTCGGGACTGTAAGCGATATTGTCAAGACTAAGCGAGATTATTAACTGAATATATTAAGTGTCCGACTGACGTACTTATTTATAATTACAAAAATTTTGGACATTCATTATTATTGCAGTGGACCCTTCAAATGTTATCTTTTGTGGACATGTTCGTACGTTGCATATAATTTATAAACATGAAAATATTTATTATTTATTTAAATATTATTTGCAAATAATCCACTCTATTTTGATTACGAATGTTACCAAAGTAAAATTTTGTAGTGGAATCTTCTGTTAATTATTATAGACTCTGTATTTTGTCTACTGTTTATCTATTGAGAAGTCAATAATAATTTCTAAAAAAAAAGTTCAAAATAATGATGACCTTCACATCCTGAAATCACTTTTTTTGATTTCTTATATTTACGCGAACACTACACATTGATTAAAACTACTTTTACGGATTTTATCGCGTTTATTTTACTATTATTTTTAATTCCCGACGTTTCGGGCGCTTTCCAGCACCCATGGTCACGGGGGACTGAGATGACTGCCGACTGCAGACTTCCTGGAAAGTTTGCGATCATATCCTAGACGGCCCCAACCATTACATCAGATTTGAAAGACCACAAATCCTCGCGAAAGAACACCGATTCCTACCAAGGATGATACGTGAGGCTATTGAAATTAAAAAACATCCTAATTTCAATAGAGAAGGAGGCTGGGTACTACCACCTGCTTGGAATCCTATAATCAATAAAATTAAAACTAAACCCAAGCATACCACTGCAAGTCCTCAGGACATAGTCAGTTCATTTTGCATAGATCGGACCATAAACAATAATTAAAAAAGCTGAAGGTACTCCGGGTTTAACAATGACATCGGGACGTCAGTCATCTCAGTCCCCCCGTGACCATGGGTGCTGGAAAGCGCCCGAAACGTCGGAATTAAAAATAATAGTAAAATAAACGCGATAAAATCCGTAAAAGTAGTTTTAATCACTTTTTTTCTCTCTAAAATATATTTGCATATCGTCGTTCGGCATTCAGTTCCGCGAATGTGTAATTGAGTTACTTTACAGGAGAGACAAAAACTGATTTATTTATATTGTACGGTTTACTATTTGTTGGAATTTGTTTTTTGAGTATTATTACTATCAATTTTTGCTGCCAACACCATAACCATATAACTCAACCTAATATATTTTATAATAATGGACATTAGCAGTATCTACTTGTGAGTATTGGTCAAATATTAAACAATCGCGATTTTTGCAAGTCTATTTTGTCATTTTATAATGACATTCGCTGTTATACTTACAGTAAAATAAAATAAACGGTTACAGTGAAAACACATATTTATTAGTTAAACGGTCTAAAGTAGTGACAAAATATGGCTGTCTAACTTATGTTATGTTACGTATGTTATAGCACCTTTAGCCAGATCTTTTTCTAATAAATTGGCATCATAAACAGACTTTAAAAATGTTTCCAACTTTATATTGGCTAAACGTGTCAAAGGAATCTGTTTTTGTTCATTTTTTAAATGTTCTCTCAAAGGTTTTTTGCTTGCTATTGAATCTTCTCTTTGATGATCACAGTATATAAATGGTTTATATTTCGTAAGATTGGTTCAAGATACAACTTGCTAAAGGAGTCTACAATAATGTCATGAAGTTTTCGGCAAGGAATTTATAAAATTAGAGTCCTCCTTCTTGTTATTCTGTCTAGGTTTGTTACGTGTATCTATCCAATATCTTACTTCACCTTTGTATCTACCAAACCCACTGTATCTATCCAATATCTTACTGTCCACTCTTTGTATCTATCCAATATTTTACTGTCCACTCTTTGTTATTTGTATCTATCCAATATCTTACTGTCCACTCTTTGTATCTATCCAATATCTTACCGTCCACTCTTTGTTATGTGTATCTGTCCAATATTTTACTGTCCACTCTTTGTTATTTGTATCTATCCAATGTCGTACTGTCCACTCTTTGTTATGTGTATCTATCCAATATCTTACTGTCCACTCTTTGACGCCTAATGTATTCAAAAATAAAATTTTATAAACCCGAAATCGGCAGTGCTTAACTGATAAATGATAGATTTTAGTTGAGCCTTTCCTTGAATTACTATCATAATGATTTTTTCTTGTACGAGATGGCAACTTTACATCATGGATTTTACATAAACCTTCTTTTCACTGCAATTCATGCATCTTCATCATTCTTTCTTCTCTTGCAACGTCTTGAAACCATTTAGTTTCGACCTTTCTGAATCCAGTATATTTTTCCTTCTATTTGTTTTTTCTTTTCAATAGTACGTTTTGGTAATGATCTCTCGTTAATCTGGTTGATATTATTATCACTACCATCCTGTCATGGATAAACGCTATCTTGAAAATCGGATAGTAAGGCAACTGGAATGCAGTCGGTATAATTGATTTCTACACTTTCATATCGTGAATCGGGCAGGTCTGTTGTACTATGATCAATGTTATTAAGTTCTCTACTTTTAAAGTATGGTTTAAGGAGAAGCGAAAAACCCGAGACGAAGTTTTCAAGGTTTAATGAATCTAGTAAATTTTCTTTTTCAGAACATGACGCAAAATAATAGTCAGGTACAATATTATTAAGTTCGTTGACCACGGGTTAAATTTTTTTTTGACGGTCTTATAGTAGCAACAAGTGATACAGGCTTCAACAATGATAATAATTTATGGGTTCGGAGATTTTTAACACGAGCTCTATCTAACAAGGGCTGCTAAACTCCATTTCCTTCATTAATTATTCGTCTGAAGAATAAGATCCCTTTGTATCTGCCAAGATTGTACAAAAAATAATGCCTTTTAATTAAATACTTGAATAATAATGCGACAGTGAAATAGGTATGGAAAAACTTGTTAAATTATTACTTATTAAAACCATCTCGTTATTCTAGTGAGCGGTAATACGATTTACTTTTGCAATTATAAAATTTGCAAGAAACTTATTATTAACAACCTAGCAAACAACAGCCTTAAATTTACCAAGATACATACCTAAAATAAATACTCGAACTCTAAATATACTTATGTGAAAACCACGAACGCCACAGTCATAGCTAGAAAACGATCAAACGAAATCCGCGATTGTGACATCAAATATTAAAGTTTATGGAATTATAATTGCAATATGGTTGAAAAACTTTGCTTTATGAGAATTTACATACTTTAAACTTTCTGTTTAATATAGTTTCAATCAAAAAGTATTGAAGGGTGATTATTTGATAACGAGGGTTTTCGAATAATTCATCTGGCTTTAATTTTTTTTTGTTATTTGATAGTAATTATAATATTAGTTTATCCTGGTCTTAAAATGTAATAACTTTATATTGAACGCACTGATTTTCTTCCAGTAGTTTATGAATTAAGTTATCCTGATGAATTAACCAGTCAGATGAATGATGAGAAAGGCAGAAAAATGAGACTTTTCTAAGATATTAATGAGAATCATACAGATAAATGATAATTTCATGTTATTTTCAATTAACTTTATTTAGAAATGAGTAAATAATGACTTCAATTTTTAAATATTAAACATTGGCGTACGATAGCAATTAAAAATTAATAGTTTAAAAAATCCGTTATTAACTTGTTCCCTACAAAATTACTCTTATAACACAACATAAAAAAACATGATTATAATCATCTTTCAGACTTAATTTTTTGATAGGAATTTCAATCACGAGATGGTAGAAAACCTGATGTACGTACCTACAAACTTTTTAAAAAATATTCAAGTCGTCATCATCAGTGTCAATTAAGTATGGATTAACATTTTCTAAATCGATACCAAATTCTTTGTTACCATCTCTTGAAAAAGTTATCTCTGATAAATCACCGAAGTCAACATATTCTGCCGATTCCATTTTTTGTTCTTTTTTATCCTTTCTTCTTCCTTTTTCTTCTCTTAAAGTATTTTTTTGGTTAGTCTTTGGTGTTAAATATTTGATTCTATCTCTCTTTGGTGACAAAGTTGTGCGATTTTCTTTATGTTTACCTTTGATTAGGTTAGCCTTTTGAATTATCTCTTCGTTTACGTCTGTTTCATTATTTATTTTCCAAAAGGATTCACCAATTTCTCTCAATTGTCTTTTCGAATTAGCTAGGGGTGTGACCGTTAAAGATTTCTGACATCCGCCTTCTAAGTGATAAAAACCAAGGTGCTTCATGTGGTTGCAATTGACAACATGATACAGACAGTTTTTATCAGTACAACTTAGTTTTCGAACTGCTACCATAGGAGAATCCAAGTTCCAGACTATTTGATGCATTTTCATACATCCTGGAAAACCTTTCACATTAGGTGGGAAAAGCAAGTCCTTTTCACTTATGTCATATTCAGAAACAGTTCTCACTTTCACTTTCTTCAACTTTTGGTCCATAATATTTAAAAAATCATCTAGACCCTTTATGTTTTGTCCTTGGGAGACAGCTCGATCCGCAGTTCTCTTCATAACAGCACCTATTCCGTCTGGGGCTCCCTTTCCATGACCAGATTCACTGTAGTTCCACGTAATGGTTTTGATGGAGCTCAGGTATATGTGCAAGCATGAAATTAAATAAAATATCTTTTTGTTACGATACTTACTGGTTGGGGAATCAGAAATAAAATGTATAGTGTGAATGCCTGTCTTTGTTTCACCTATATATTCGAGGATTGGTACGATGTGAGCCCATACGGCTGATATGTCATGGCGCAGGCATTCACTTACCGTGCAAAAAAGATTGTATTTGCGGTATCTTCTCATCATTCAAAAAATATATTACCAAAGTATGTAAAGTTAATTGTTCACGACTACCACCGAAATGATAGGACTGTATTTCTTTATTACACTTAACTGCATAATTTTCGCTATAATCAATGTGAATAATACACTCACCCTCTTGAAGATGTTCTTTTAAGTTTCTGAAAGCTTTTTGTTGAGAAGCTATATTACCACAGTGCACGTATATATACTAATACTCATTCAGTATTGATTCAAATTTTTCAATACACTTCTTAGGTTCTTCTCATTTTTTAATTTTTTCAGTAGTTCTTACTTTTCTTTCCATACCCTGAATCATATCTTGTTTAGTCTCCCACTGCCAGTAAGTAATATCAATAGAATTATCAAATTCCTGATAACAGACTTCCTTTTTCTTGCACGCTAAACATGTTCGATGTAAACAATCCACATCATACACGTCGCAACATAGTAAAGCGAGAAGATCTTGGGAGGTCTTAACTGATAAGATCTTCCTCTGGTACAATCCTTGAACTATTAAATTCATATTGGTATGCAATTTGCATAAACAAGTTTCTCGTGATCGGGAATCAGGAAGCAGCACCCAAAAAAGGTCTTAGTTTGCAGAATGCTGAATAACTTATAGTAAAATTTGAGTTTTTGAGAAACTTTCTATACAAATTAAGAAGACTATCACTGAGGTACCGCTTTTGTTTACGTATTTTTTTTCTTACTACAAATTCTTTCTTCCCAGAGCATAGGCGCGTATTTTCATCATCTTCATAAAACCTTTCGACTTATTTTATTAGCAGTTCAGTAATACTTTCATCATATATTCCACTATTTTAGACAGCTTTTTTGGCCATATTTTAAATACAAAATCACGTGTTTGATTGAATACTGTCGAATAAACAAAAAATAAAAATTTGCAATTTTTCACATTCACGGTTTTTAACCCGGCGGTACTCGCTAGGTGTTTACATGCACGAATACTCGCTACCGGGTAAAAAATACCACATAATTTAAATGACATTATTGAAGTGGATCGATAGCAAATCAAGAACTCGTGCTGGTTACATAAAATGTTTATTGCGCCACACGGTGAAAATACAAATTGACCGTTAGATTCTTCAAAGCGCGGGACGACTTAAACGTATGTATGTGCACACCAGCGGAGACTGCGGCGACGACTGACCGCCAACAATGCTAGCGGGAATCGCTCACTCTTATCTACCTTAGGGATAATATTACAAATACATACAAGCTTACCTACACATATTTTATAAAATTTATAATAAATATTACATACAAAACAATGCGTCGCCAACACGCCCCACCCCAGTGTCGCCTCAGCGACACTCATCTTCCATGGGTATTCTGGCGACGCGTGTTGCTGGACGTACAAGTGTCCCGGATGGAGTCTTTATTTGAACCACCCTAGTCCTGCCGTCTTTGCCAGGAAAAACCCTTTCGACCACTCCGCGCTGCCATATGCCACGCTGCTCACTTGGACTAACGACTAGGACTAGATCCCCAATTTGTAAAGACCTTTGTTCGCGATTCCATTTACGTCTTGGTAACAGCTCGGGCAGAAACTCCTTAACCCATCGCTCCCAAAACTTGTCCGCCAGGCGTTGTGCGATACGCCACTGTTTCCTGAGGTAGATGTCTGAATCGTCATAAACCCCAATTGTAGGCAAATTGGAGGACGTTCCCAGCAGGAAATGGTTGGGAGTTAAGCTCTCATTACTTCCTGGCTCTACGGAGACATGAGTGAGCGGTCGACTGTTTACTAAGTTTTCGACTTCAGCTAACAAGGTTATAAGGACCTCTTCTCGAGGTGCACGTTCCTTGAGTACGACCTTTAGAGCATTTTTTACAGTCCGTATAAGGCGCTCCCAAGCCCCACCCCAGTGTGGACTGGAAGGTGGAATAAATGTCCATTCTGTGCTGAAGTTTAGTGCTTGATCCTTCAATGCAACCTCATCCAGTTCCTTAATGGATTTTAAGAGCTCCATGTTTGCACCTCTGAGGTTAGTACCATTGTCAGAGAAGATATGTTTGGGCCAACCTCTACGTGCTGACATTCTTCTTAATGCCATTATAAGAGAATCCGTAGTCAAAGAATTGACCACCTCTATGTGAACAGCACGCACGGTGAGGCAAGTGAAAAGTACTCCGTACCTCTTTTCTCTTCTTCGTCCGATAGTCACATCGAGTGGGCCAAACAGATCAACGCCACAATTTGTAAATGGTCGTTGATGGTGGTCCAATCTGGGCTGAGGTAAGTCCCCCATTCGTGGTGGTTCTGGCTTAGCCCTTTGCATGCGACAGAACATGCAGCTGGATGCGACGGTACGTACAGTGGGTCGTAGCTTCAAGATCCAATATTTTTGTTTTAGCTCGTTTACCACCATCTCATTTAATCCGTGCGCTGCCTTCTTGTGGTAATGCTTAACGATTAGTCGCGATATGGAATGCCGTCCGTCTAATATGATAGGTCTCTTGATCTCCAGAGATAAATCAGCAGCAGCATCGATACGGCCACTAACGCGCAAAATTCCATAATCGTCAAGATACGGAGCTAAGATGTGTAGCCTACTGACTCGTTCTAACGGTTTTCTGTTCTTAATTGCAGCTATCTCCTCCGGAAAAGACTGCAGCTGAGCGTATCTGAGCAGAAGTCGTTCAGCTTCCACCATATCGGTACAATTGATCTGACAGTTACTTGTAAATTTTCTGCATCTTTTTATAAATATTAATACTAAAGCGGTAGTCCTCAGCAGGCGAAGCCAAGAAGAGAACCTAGTTGGATCTGGCACGGGTAAGTCTACTACAGAATGTTCCTGTATTGTACTCACATACTCCAACTGCGAACTGCATACTTCGGGCATAAAAGATCCTACGGGCCACGAATTTTCAGAACTTTGCAGAAACTTTGGGCCATTGTGCCACTCTGTAGTAATTGAATTGCAATTAACTGCTTCCCGGGTGGCAACATCGGCTATATTTAACTTCGTAGGAATGTATCTCCATTCATTTGTTTTCGTAAGTTCGTCAATTTCTCCTAAACGGTTAGCTACGAATGTCTTATAGTTTTTATTATTGTTCCTTATCCAATGTAAGACAGTACTAGAATCGCTCCAGAATATTTTCCTCTGAGGCTTGATTCTATGTTCGGTAATTATTGTACGCGATAAACGAGCAGCAAGTACTGCGGCTTGAAGTTCCAGGCGCGGAATCGTAACGAACTTCACCGGCGCTACACGACAGCGGCTAGCTATAAACGATACATATATTTTCTTATTATGAACCCAACGCCAGTACGCTACCGCGCACATAGCTTGCGTAGATGCATCGCAAAATATATGTAACTGTAGGTTGCTATAACCGATGGCAGCCCGTTGCGCCCGCGACTCGCATGTATCCGCCATCGATCCTATTGCCGTTTCGCTTCCACTCGCGGCTGCTTGGTAGTATCTCGGTAAGCGCAAATTATTTATCCATTTTAATTGTTTCATCCATTCACACCATTTTTTGTATATAGCGTCTGAAACTATTTCGTCCCATCCAATGTTAGCCTTCCAAGTTTCCTGTAACATTATTTTTCCTTTTATAGTGATTGGAGATAAAATTCCATATACATCAAATATTGACATAATTATTCTGAGCATCTCCCGCTTAGTAGGCCGCGTTTTACCACTGCTAATGTTCTCCGGAATGCGCTTGAACGAGACATCAAACCCTAACGTGTCATTATCTGGATACCAAAACAATCCAAGTGTCCTCTCACCCTCTTCGTGCTGACCGATTTTAAACCTTACGGCCGCTGTACCGAGAGACTCTTTTGGTACGGTGTTTAAAACCTCTAAGCTATTGCTTGTCCAGTTTCGGATAACAAAACCGCCTTGTTTATGAATGAAAGAAACATCTTGTACTAATTTCATTGCAGTGTGTTCATCCTCCATACTATCTATATAGTCATCCATGTAATGTTGTTTACAAATCGCATCCACAGCTGATGGGAACGATGACTCGTAACACATTGCATTTTTATTCTTTACAAACTGTGCAATAAAGGGTGAACAGTTTGCACCGAAAATTAAAGATGACATTTCGTATGTTTTTATTGGATCTTTTGGGTTGTCTCTCCAAAGAAAACGAAGAGCGTTTCTGTCTTCGGGACGAATTTTTATTCTTAGGAACATGTCTTTTATGTCTCCGGTTAATGCCACCTTATATTCCCGGAAGCGGAACATGATCCCGAGTAATGACATTAATAGATCTGGACCTTTAAGTAGGTAATCGTTTAGTGACAATCCGTTTGATTTGGCCGCCGCGTCGAAGACCAAACGAAGCTTTTTCTTATTAGGGTTGTCGACTCCGAAATGGGGCAGATACCAGGTCTTGGGACTATTTTGAGCAGCTGCTGGATTGGACACTACCTCAGCATATCCATTATTCAACAGGTGAGCCACCCTATCCCTATACCTTTCCCCGTAATCGCTATTTAATTTAATTTTCCTTTCGACACCACTTAACCTCAACATGGCGTTGGAGAAGGATTCAGGCATTTTACTGTTCTCATTGATCCAAGGTAAGCCGACTTGCCATCTGCCTTCAACCAGGGTCGCTGTCCGTTCCAGATGTGACCACGCTTGGACATCCTCTTTATTTTGTCGTGGCTGTAGTGACACCCCCAACGAATCTAAGTTAAAGGATCGACGTACCTCATCATGGAGTTCCGCCAACATGCGCTGTTCCACCTGAGCTGCTTCCAAGACCTCACCAAGATGTAAATTAATGTGACCGGTCATCTCCGAAGCCAAATGAGCAGGTACACGTCCATGCACACACCAACCGAGCGGAGTGAGGGTCGCACATGGTTCGTTAGCCTTACCTACAATTACATTTAAGGGCAATAATAAATTACAATTATCCTGGCCTATCAACAATTCAGGTGCAGTAGAAACATTACAAAGTTGATCTTTAATATTACAAAGGTGCTTAAATTTATTACAATTAATTCTAGAAAAATTGTTATATTTAGGCAAATTAAGTTTATCTACACTACGTGCAATTAAAGTATACACATCGCCATTGCAATTAGATATCTTAAAGTTCATTACAGTCGATTCACACACTAATTCACTAGAATCGAACGCGCCACTCACGCGCATCGTTTGGCGCTGGCCGCTGAGTCCAACGCGCTTAGCGAGCGCGCTGCTTATTAACGATATCGTCGAACCATCGTCCAACAGCGCACTTGCCCTAATTGTTCCGTTCGGACCGTGAATTTTCACAGGGACTACTTTTAATAACGCTTTACAATTTGTATTAATATTTGTAATCGTTTCGGATTGGCTTACATTCTCAGACTCAGGCACTAAGTTAAGATTTTCACAGTTACTTACAGTTTGTTCCTTGTTTACCGAATAGTGTAACAACCGATGATGTGCTTCTCCGCAGTTGTCCGTGTCACACACCGGCGCTGGGCACGTATCCCTATTATGGCGCGATAATAAACACTTGTAACAGATACCGTAACGTTTTACATACCGCCATCTGTCCTTGCGTAGTGACCGTTTGAATTGTTTACATTCTGTTAATTTATGCGGAGATTTTTTTGCAGTATTGACACTTCATAGCGATTTTATTTTGTTCACTATTCACTAACAATGTATTATGCGAGCGTTCAGAATATTTAAATTTATTAATGTTGTGAACATTGCTGATTAACTGCACCGAAGATGTAGAAATTTTTACGGCTTCTTCATTTAAAAACTCTGACAGAATATCCAGTTTCGCCTTAACGCCGCCGGCAATAAATGCATAACTATAGTCTGCCCATTTAGAAATAAGTACTGTAGGTAACTTACTTAATATTATTGTAGTGACGCTTGTATCTTGAAGATATTCGTGTCTGTTTAATGCGCGTACAGCCGCGACGTAATTTTTTACTTTAATAGAAAATGGCACAATATCTTTATGGTAATCAGGTGATATGGGCTGTAGCTTCCTTATATCCTGCATGATTCTAGTTATGATGATGTCTGAATTACCAAACTGCAACTCTAAAGTTGACATCACTATATCAGGTGATGAAGCTGTGATAAGAAGAGCCGTAACTGCTTCTTTTGCCTGCCCACGAAGACATTTTCGTAGGCGCCATAAATTTTCTTTAGGGCTGAAGTTACATACCTGTGTGGATTCTTCGTATGCCAACTTGAATTGTAACCAGTCCATAGGGTCACCACTAAACATTGGTAAATCTTGCGGTGTGGATATACGGCTCAATAAATTACCATTATTCTGCTGAGATGTTGAGGCAGCGGCTAAATTCTTGAGTGCGCTGGCCAACATTTGCACTGTACCATTATCGTTACCGGCGGCGGCGTCACCTGCTGCCGGCGCACTTGGCCCACCCTTTGTAAATCCATTCTCGGGGGCAGGATGTTCAGGCTGTTGACTGCGCTCCAACCACTTCTCAACTTCCTCGTTGGTGTGCGACCTCGATGAGCGTGAACTGTGTTCCAAATCGACTAGATCAGCCTCAAGCTTTTTATCAATAAGTTCCATTTGTATACGTGCTTTTGCTTCCGCTGCTTCTAGCTCTAATTTTTTTCTCTGAGCACGTACTGACGATGATGTTGAATGTATGGACTTCAACGATGCCGAAGGTTTAGCAGGCAAACTCTTTGGCTTTGAGTCACTTTCTATATCCCGTTTGTTTTCAACCTCATATGGGTGTTGCGGAGCCGTTGACTGTCCCTGGTCTTGTGTGCCTTCCAACTCCTTCCTTCTTGTAGCACGAGTTTTTGTCATTATTCGCGGTGGACTGTATAACATTACAATTTATGATCCGGCCGAAGTGACCACTGAAGTGGATCGATAGCAAATCAAGAACTCGTGCTGGTTACATAAAATGTTTATTGCGCCACACGGTGAAAATACAAATTGACCGTTAGATTCTTCAAAGCGCGGGACGACTTAAACGTATGTATGTGCACACCAGCGGAGACTGCGGCGACGACTGACCGCCAACAATGCTAGCGGGAATCGCTCACTCTTATCTACCTTAGGGATAATATTACAAATACATACAAGCTTACCTACACATATTTTATAAAATTTATAATAAATATTACATACAAAACAATGCGTCGCCAACAATTATCTTGGAAAAATAAGTTTGCATTACAAACTTTAATGGTGTATTTAGTTTATTAATACTAATGTCTAATAAATAAAAGAAAATTAAAAGTTTGAATTATTATTTATTTCAAATTATAGCTTATCCTAAAAAAAATACAAATTCTAACAAAAATTCTTCATAGTCTTAGAAAAATCAACAAAACAATTTTTTTCTTAGGTATCACGTAAAATTGAGATCAAAAATTATAAAACGACCTTATACACTACCAAAACAACAAAAAATAAAATACTGTTTATATTAAATGAACATCGAGAAAATAATCGTCAAACATTATATTTCAAAAAAACTTGTACCTAATCTAACTATTTTGCTTTGACATAACAATCGCCACAAATTGGGGTCGTATGCTCACGGCATATTCTTTTGGAACACAATTTACAAGACGTCTTAGTTTTTCGGTCCTTCTTCCATTCACATACTGCACAACGGGAAGCAGATGTGGACGGTCGCAAAGCTGAGGGTGTGCTTGTGTGCGTGGCTTCGTCATTCGAGTCAGCATTGAGCATACAATCAATTTTTGTTTTGATAATTTTTGGCAAATTAGCTACTGTTGACCTCTTTTTTATCTGTGGCATCACAAGGGCCAAAGCCAGTTCTTTCAAAGCGATCCTTCTCTTAGCCATCACAGCTCCACTATTTACTTTATTTGCCTTCACTATCACGTACGCATTGATGCCGCCGACGTTCAAAAGACCATAAAACAAAACCAATGGCCATCTTTTGGTAGCTCGTGCTACTGAGTAGGTAGCACACATCTCATCCACAACATCGACGCCACATTTTGTTCTATTATAGTCCATGATCATCTCGGGCTTTTTTTCTTCTCCAGAATCTTTTTTGCCATCATGGTGCATAGTTGACGCCAAGAGCACGACTTTATTTTTCTTTGGAACATAAGACACAACAGTACAATTATCTTGAAATCCAAAAAAGGGCACTGTGTACTTCCCGGTCTTTGGTTGAGGTAAATACAAGTGGAATTTCAGCTTTATTCTTTCTCAAAGTACCCAATGCTGTCAAACCATAATCATTGAGCAAATCACGTAATAGCGGAAAACTAGTGAACCAATTGTCCATCACTATGTTACGATGACTATTCTTTATAGGTTCTACTAAGCGTTTGACGACTTCACTTGGTGAATTACTGTGATCATAAGGCCCATCATTTTTGCCAACATAAATTTCCATATTATTTGTATAGAAGGTTCGTGCGTCAGCCAACACAAATATCTTTATACCGTATTTACCGGGTTTGCTGGGTATGTATTGCCGAAATGGACAACGGCCGCGAGTCTTCTCCAACTTTTCATCGATTGTTACATTTTCGCCGACAGCATAATATTTTTTTATATTATTATTGAACTCTTCGAAAATCTCGCGAATGGGTGCTAGCTTATCTGTTTGCCTTCTTTCACCTCGTCTACGAATATTGTCAAACCGTAAACTCCGCAGTAAGAAATGGAACCTTTCTCGTGACATTGTGGCTATACAGACGTCGGAACCACTTCCATCTTTTTCCCAGAGATCTTTTGTGTTCAGATGACCACTTCGCAATCTTCCGCAGAAATAAAGTAGTCCAAAAAGAGCTCTAAGTTCAACGATATCTGTACTTTTACAATCGCGTTCTCTTGAGAATTTAGACTTTAGCTCTTCTATATAAATGTTAGTATACTGGACTATCTTTAGTAAACACGTTTCCGGAAAAACAAGATTCCAGGCTTCTAACATAGATGAACAAGATCTGCCTTCGCCAATCGGTCCCGGCAAATGATATATAATGTTATGGGATCTTGTTCGTACACGTCGCGGCGGCTCACGAACTTGCCAGCGAGTTCTTTTGTCTTTTCCAGTAAAACGACCTCGCCTCAAGTACTTAAGCGGTACATCCTCTAAATATTCTTCATCTTCAGTATTCTCAATTTGTAAATTCGAAGGAAAACTCTCTTCCGACACTGAAGACCCATCTGAATCACTTGCTTCTTGCTCTGTTCCGCTTTCATGATCACTATGCTCCTCAAAATCTTCTATTTCTGACACATTTTCTTCTTCACTATCTTCTTGTTCTAGACATTCTTCTATAATTCGATCCGTCAGTAGGGAACTCATCATGAACCAGCTCTAAAACAAAATAATAACATAAAAAAAACCACCAATAACATAAAAAAAAATGTAACAAGAACCGTCGCTACCGGGTATTTTTCACCCATACTCACTTTAAACGTCCGTTGTCGCCAAGCGCCGCGCGCGAACTGGCCGCCCGGTGACGCACGCGCGTGTTAACTATTGGCCAGAAGGTACTTAAAGTCGTGAGTTGCCACCATGTTTAGTAATAAAAATATCACGTGATTTAGGTACTCCGTGGTATTTTTTACCCAGCAGCGAGTACCGCCGGGTTAATGACGAACGTCGATATGTATCTTTTTTTTATCCCACTGCCTTAAAAAGAGGATGAGGTGTATATGTATGTCTATTTCTTTGTCACGCCCCGTAGCTTAAACGGCTTGAAGGATTTTAACATAATATGGTGTCGTTAAATTTATCTTGGTGTTGGTATAATTTTTTTCACATTCCAGTTAAGTTTTTTTACGTAAACGGGTTTTTTTAATTACTATTTCTTCAACCATTGGGCTTGTTCTTACGACTCTAGCAAAGATTCGTAACATTGGGAATAAAAAATGTGATAAAATCTTTTAAAATTAGTTTTATTTATATCCTATTCCTAGTCTTAATCCTAATAAAAATATATGAGAAAGTGTATTTATTTATTGGCTTGCGCTTTCCCACCGCAAAGAATTTCCCATGGGCAAAACTTATGTCAGAAATATATAGATGGTGCCACAGAAATTGGTTCCCTTTTTTCGTAAAATTTTCCCACGGGAAAAGCTATGTATCAGAAAAATATATAAATGTGATAGTAGTAATATGGCACTAGTAAATGGATGTATTCTTCCACACACATTGCAAATATACAATCACATTGTCCAAAATAGCGAAGATATTTCAGAGAGGTCCCTAATAATCGAGGACGTCGTAGGTCGATTGTTCGTTGTCGCTTTCTCGACATAATCCATTATGTACTTAATACGTAGTACAACTTTTCAGTGTAATTTGGTAACCAGCTTGGTAGGATTTTTAAAAATTGTTTTATTTTATACCACGTTAATCGAGAAATAAAAAATGCGGTGGGATTAAAACAATCTTATTATTATATAAACATTTTTTATTGTAATTCAAATAAAAAAATAAATTATTTATTTGCCACACAAAAATACAATATTGAAATTTAAATAGAGAGCTTAATAATTAGTTGTGACAAAACGGTCTGTGACTCAGTTGTAACGGAAAACCCATTACTCCTGCTATTCTGCCACAGCCTTTGCGCATAATTCATACAGGGTGTTAGGCAATTGATGGAACACACGTATCAACAATGAAAAAAGTAAAGATAAAAATAAATATATAAATAAAACAATTAACAAATTATAGTTGCTAAATACAAAAAAAAGTTGTCTAATTTGAGGGGGCATAGATCCAGGGACTGTTTTTGAATAAGCCACTTGCGGCATCTTTGTCGGAAGGTGGACGGAAATAGGGTAGATCGGACTGGTGGTGGCAAATCGTTCCAAATTTTAGCAGCGGCAAATTTAAAACACCCCCTGGCTCCAGCGTGTCTAATCCTGGGTAGTGGAAGCCGATGACTATTTTATCTAACTGAAAGCAAACTTTTTTTTTCGTCGACTATCTTATCATACAGATATCTTGGAGACTTTGCGTTATGCAGAGTGTGCAGAAAGCAGGCATATTTTAACTTAGTACGATTATTGCACACATTTAAAATGCCATTACTGACTAAATAAGGTGAAATCATAACCCTTTTCGGTATATTAAAACAAAAACGCATACATGCGTTCTGCACTCTTCATTCACATACATTCTTCACAGTTTTTTTTTAAATAAGCATGGACCATAAACAATATGACAATATTGAAGGTGGCATAGTACTAAACTGTTACTTAACAGCAGTCTTATGTCACGTTTTAGAAATGAGCGAATTTTATACAAAGTTTTTAACAAACCATAGCATTTGCCGATTTTAGTCTGAACATGTTGCTCAAATTTTAAATTCTCATCCATGAGGAGACCTAAATTGCGAACATAACCCTCGTAAGGTATGACGGTGCCAAAGATCTTAACAAGAGACTTCCGTTCATTAATTGTTTTTACCTGGTGCTTTGTTCCAAGTGTAATGGTGACACTCTTTAAGGGATTAAGTACCAGGCCATGTTTCAAAGACCACTCCGCAATAGAATCAAGATCTTTCTTTAACTTGGAAATAGCAACAACAACCTCCTCATCTATTGGCGTTGTTTGAACATATACTTGGCTGTCATCTGCATATAAGTGAATATTCGAGTGAGTTATAGCTTTAAGTAGTAACGTTAGCCGTGTAAATTGCGAATAATGTGGGACCAAGTATTGAACCCTGGATAACACCTTTATTAAGGAGGAGCGTGTTGGAGACATTTAGAAGTCCTTGGCTATTCAAACATTGCACTTTTTGGCAGCGATTATGGAAATAAGATTGAAACCAGGTGCAGGCCAATTCTGTGAAACCATAGTATTTTAATTTTGCCAATAGGACAGATATATCAACACAATCAAAAGCGCGACTGAAGTCTAGCAAAACCATAATTGTTCCCTTACCCTCATTGGACGCAGAATATCATCAGTAATATTTAAAAGAGCTGATACTGAACTGTGATTCTTTCTAAAACCAGATTGAATCACAGGTAGTACTTGATTACGTTATAGATAAGGTGAAATTTGATAAAGAACGCATCTTTCAACTATTTTAGATAGTGCAGGAAGAATGCTTATTGGTCTTATATCAGAAAGATTATCCACCATTGATTTTTTAGGAATGGGAGTGACGATGGCACATTTCCAAGATTCTGGAAATACTCCTTCCAATATAGATTTATTGACTATCGCCATTATTGTTGACAAAGAATATGGAAGCGTAAGTTTTAACATCAACATGGAGATGCCATCAGCTCCGGTCGCATTTGTAACTGTAGAAGCAATTATACTTTTCACTAACGTTTCATTTACGGCTACAAATTGAAATTCGATTTCAGTGTTTAAGTGACTCGATTTCTTGAATAACACTTTTGTCGGGAGGAATGATGGATCAATCTTCGAGCAGGCCCCGTTCCGTATTAGTGACACTGACGTCGCCGCGTATTCGTGATCGTATCCTTGAAGCCGTTAATAAGTTTAATAAAACTCAAAGTGGCAAACTAAACTCGAAACACCTAAATATTGATGGTGCTACTAATAAAATATATGTCTCTGAACAGTGGCGAAGCTAGAGCTCCAAGCTAGGGCAAGCCCAAGATATAAATTGATAAAAATATAGATTGTTTTTTTAGCAGTTTTATAAAAATACACCAATCTTGATCTGTCTCCACGCTTCAGTTTCATATTCAGTGCTGTCAAGGACGTGTTTAACAAAGCACACAGAAGGCATACCATTGCTAGATAGATTGTATTACATATCAGCAATTGCATAGCTTCGGTGGCTTTGAAGAAAGCCGTTTGGGTTTATTTAAGCGAAAGAAAAAAAATATTTACATGCAATACAATACATGAACAAAAGTAAAACACGAACAAAGTACAAACTATGTACAAAATTAAAAAAAAATATTTACATTCTAATGGATAAGAGATAAGATAAGTGGAATCGTCTCGCTTTCTTATGGAAAGATTTAATTACGTCCACGTAAAATGTTGGTGAACGTTTTAATTGTACCAATAACTGTTTTTAATTGCGATAATTGACAAGTCTAAAATACACTCTTAACCTTGTGTATTATCTCAACAAAGTTTAAAGATTTCCTCTCCGATTATCACTTTAACACACTTCAATTCATCACAAGGAACACTATTATCCTCCATTTTCATTAAAAATCTTTAAAAAAGCATAAATTTTGAACTCGTAATATTAAATCGCTTAAGATAAGCACACAGAGTAAATAAACATTGAAACGTGAAATGAAGTTGCAAACGTATTGCCCGCACGCCTCCGCTTTTAACAAATTTATTCCTAAAAGCCTGGCTTTAAATCTCTATACTAATTGCTATATATACAATCGTAGTTATATTTCATTATAGAATATTTTGACATAGGTTAGAAAGAGAGCGATCGTCTTCTCGAAAGCCCCGTAAAAAGCCCACGCGAGCGAGGGAGACAACTATTAGCTCTATTAAAACTCATTCTTTATGACAGCAGCAGTATCGCTAAGGCAATACGAGGTCATCGGTCGACATGTGTCGAACAGTGGAGTGCGCGGGAAATTTGAAATAGCTTGAAACATTTTACGAGTTATTTTATTAGTTGATATTATTGATTGATTCAGGTTTAATAAGGCAAGCCCGGCTTTTCGGCTTTAATGGAAGCTTCGCCACTGCCTCTGAACATATTTCTCCTGATTGTAAAGCATTATTCAGAGAGGCTAGAAGGGTAGGCAAGGAGAAAAATAAAAACATTAATTACTTTGCAACCCTCCGCTAACTAAATACAATGATGTGTCTTAACTGGATTGAAGAGCACCTCCCGCACTCCCTCAATTGCATGCACTAACTCCGTCACCACTACTTCCAACACCACTATTTCAGGTAAGACACACCATCGACGATAATACGACACGTGTTTCGCCTCTACACGAGGCATCCGCAGGTGATGTAGACCCTGCGAAGGCTGACACTATCTTCAACTAATAATCCCATCACCACCTCTCCTAGCACTCTCTCCGATCTCCACACACCGCTATTTATACAACTCGTTGATCGGCGAGTTGTATAAATAGCAACTGTTTCGGCTCGCCGCTCACTTAGCCTTCAGCCACCGCAGAGACTAATTCATTTGTGGATGCCTCGTGTAGAGGCGAACACGTACCGTACCTACTATCCAGAGTGGTGCGTCGTTCCTAGTGTGGTGGTGTTGGCATGAAATTGAGAGGTCGGGAGGTGCTCTTCAGACTGGATAGGACACATCATTTTATTTTATTACGTGAATATGAGCAAATTAAGTTCTAATAACTTCAACCACATGATTGAAAAATGCCCTAGAATATTGTGTCAAATTCTGGTTTGAACACTTTTAATTTTTCTGCCATGTTCACACCGTTATTCTACCCTTGACCTCGAAAATCATTCATATCTAAGTCAAACACTTGTACAATTGCGTCAAGAAAGAGGCCAGTAAGTCCTTTTACCGAAGAGTCACTTATTGGCTTCTAATTGGTGATCGATGCTTCTAAGCAACAAAATAATAATAATACTTTGACTTCCTAATTAGCGTCAACAAAATGGAATGTTAGTGATAAGAGTAAGTGAATTGGTGAGCGGTGCTTAGTTGTAGCGTTTCGGTTGATTTAGGCGCCCGGTGCGGTCGCACCGCCCTAGGGCCGCCACTGCTCCTGGCGCTGCAGCGATTATTCCTTCCCTGTCAACACCACTGTTCTACTCGTGCAATTAATCGCGACGCTCCGGACTAGGCCGCTCGCGTTTGCAACATAATGGCAGCGTGCGCGCTCTATATGCATATTCATTATAGGTAATTATATTGTTACGGGCTTAGGGTTCGTGACAATAAAAACTGCCGATTGAATTACCAAAATTAACACTTTAATTCACTTTATTTCGCTTCGAAGCTTCGTTTGTCTCGCCAAATTCAATAATGCCCCGATCGCGGCTTGCAGCGGCTTTAAATACACCTTTTACACCGAAACATCCAGAATATTTCAGTAAATACGGGTGCCGACCGCCCAGATGTAGAAAGTTCGAGTGTGGGGCTTCTAGAAAGCTTAATTCTTCTGTTCGATACTAGATGGCGTTTTTAGTCGAAAGTTCAAGATTGACATTCTCTAGGAAGCCCTCCTCGCTTTTTTCCCCGACACTAGATGGCGCTAGTGCCAGGTACCTGACGTCAACTTAGGCGCGCAACACTATCAATGTCATAAAAAGAAATATATCTACGTGTCTTCGTCGATATAGCTTTTCTCTGTATATTCTTTACTCATGTTATAATGTGGCTCAATTATGATGATAGGTACTGTTTATGATTTTTATATGACACGTGACGTGACCGCTCGATTGACGATTCGGACTGCGTTTGCGCAAGTATGTGGCCAGCCACTCGCGCTCATATTGCCAGTCCTTTGACTCGCGCCCAAAAAACCTTCAAAACAGAGAGCGATGAGCATGACGTACCGAATTACGAGTATTCTGACCACACTACATCTCTGCCTCCTTTCCTCGCTACTACACTAAGATATGTATAGAGTTACGAACCTTCCCGTAAATAATCGCTGCCCTAAACCATACTGAAGGTCGCCCGCGTAAACCAAGAGTACCACGAATCAAACTGTATGACGCTATATGACTGCATAAATACTTTGACTCAGGGCTATAATAGCTACCAACTAAACAATAAGCGAAAGTTATAAGTTAGAAAGACCCTCCCTCCTATTCCGCGCGGGAAAAAGTAAAGCTATAGTAGTAATGCTTATTTGTCGTTTTCTTAATTAAATGTTTATATCTTACAGTTCATTATAACATTACAAAGTTATAATGCAGTTTAAGGTAATTTTCTATGGAGTTGTACCTAACGAAATTTTTACTAACCCAAGTGCATTTTATAAGTTGGTCATCTATTACTCAATAACTTGTTAATTCTCCTCAGCTGTGATAGTTTTTCTTTTAACTACATTATATGTACGATCGTGTATTATTTTTACATTTTCAATATCAACGGTTTAGTTGGTAGAGGGGAGGGGGGAGGGACACATGACTAATGAAAAAATGTCTACTACTTTAAAGTTTTTGAAAGACCTATCCAACGATACCACAGAGAGATAGACGGATAAAAAAAATCACCCTTCCTTTTTCCCGTATGGGAGGTATTCAAAATAAAAATGTTTTTTAAGATTTTATTTCACAGTTTTGTAGGTGGGATTACTATCTATAACTATGCTAAATTACAAATTTGTATAGCACCTAGGGTCCTTGAGTAAAACCAAGAACAGACGAACGGACGGATATAGCGAAATTATAAGGGTTCCTTGTTGTTTAATTACAAGTCAATGGATGATGAGCAATCTATTATATAATATATCAATAGATAAATTAGAAATACATGCGAAGAACTGTGTGTCGATAACGCAGGATTTTTCTACGCGTGTGTACAGTTGATTGACCTACCATAAGTTTTGATTGAAAGTAGGAGTTCCAGTTATGCTGATACGTAAACTAGATGAACTCAGATTATGCAATAGTACATACGTGTACTGTTTTCACCAGGTTAAGACGAAAACTTGATGTTATCCTCTAACAAGACACACGGACCTCCCGTTTCAATTCAAATGGTTGCAGTTGAGGTTCACTAAGTTTTTTTTTAAAGAAACGTGGTTACGTTATTTTTTATTAAACCAAGATTTTCTTCTGTATAGTGAAGGTAGTAATTTTTTATAAAAGGAAAATCTAACTGGGATATTTCTCATAGTCGCCTCTTCACCTTCACTTTTTTCCATTTTTTTAAAGTTCTTCATCAGAGCAAACAAGCTGTTGAAAATTAATAAATAAAAAATTTGGAAGACGATTTAATAAGTCCGCTTTGATATAATAAGACTTAAGTTACTTTACGTCATTTCTGAAATGGATATGGAGCCATTAGTCCCCCGTCATGCTCACACATCACCATCTTCGAAACATTTTATTTCTGACATGCAGGAATACGGTATGCTCACCTACTGTTTTTACAGCAAGCCTTTAAGTCACCACGGGTCTAATAAAATTGAGTAAAAAGCAATAACGAAAAATTGTTGAAAATATGTTTCTCAAAAAAGCTTGGATTTTTCTAGGCTCTGTGATACAAGTGTTAGCTATTAAGGCGTCTCCCGACGATTGTTTTTGTGCTATTTTTAATTTAAGTCTTACTAAATAACAAAAAACAAAAAAAAAAAAAAAACCCCCCCCGCACACACCCCCCCCGGGCCCGCCCCACCCCACCACCACCCCCCCCCCCACCCCCCCCCCCCCCCCCCAAAAAAATCCCCCCCCCCTCCCCCCACCTTTCCCACCCCCCCCCCCCCTCCCCCCCCCCCCCCCCCTCTTCCTCTCCCCAAACCACCCCGCCCCCCAACAAAAACCCCAAAAAAAAACCCACCCCCCCAGACAGTAAATATAAAAGTAACAACCGTGGAAGCCCAGAATCTCAAAGCTCCTTTAAAATTTCATAGTAAATTAATAATATTAGGAGGAACAACAGACTGGCACGGATTCTGCTACCTCGCGTAGTTTCAGACCCCAATACAATAGAGGTCTATGCAATGAAATATCATTCAGTAAAGATATAAGATAACAAAAAAGTAGTTTTAAGCACACCAAATTATACAAATTAATGAAAATAATAAAACTGTAATGCCCTCATGTTTTTAATAGGTTAACAGTGAGCACATAATGTCACAACTGTTGGTAAGTCTTGTAACATTTGAATCCATATTACATCTGTCTACTTAATAAAATCTTAGTTTAAAGAAAATATATCTTTGTACAGGATTTATCTAATTCTATAAATAACATATACAATGACTGTAACCTTTTTACAACAAATGTAACTTATAACAATTTTTACACAAGGCTGAGAAGAAAAATATTAGTATTATTATTATAATAATCTAGTCATTTAAACATTTTATTTATATAACTTTTAATGGCATAAACATAGATTTTTCTAAAACATATACTATTCTAAGCTTTAGCATGATAATTACGCCTTAAAAGCATAATATTTATTTAAATATGTTATATAGTCTCCATAAGCAAATGGCAGCGGCAGCGGCAGATATTGAGCTATGTAAGAAGATTTTTCTTCTATTGTCTGTGCGTACAAGTACTACTGGTGAAGCAGATGTGAGATCACTCAGTGCCGGTAGTGTTGCTAAACGTCGACGATTTTTGTCTTCTTGATATTTACAGCAAGGATCCCATTGCCATGACAAAGTATAACAACCAGCACAAAGAACTGAAACTATTCCAAATGGAGCACATGCCAATGAGTTCCATATCAGACCTATAAAGAAAAAAGGAATTATTTAAGAATTGATTACATTATTGTGCATGCCGTTAAATCATGAGTCCTATTTTTAAAAAATTGTACTGAAACTTCACAAACACATAGAGAACAGTATCAAGAGTGACCTGGGACAATATATTTTATCTGAAAAATAGACGGTATTTTTCTTGGTAAATAGAAAAATTTATAAAAATATTGGTCTTTGATTATGTTGAACTAACGCCACATTATTAGATCCTACCCAGGTGAAGCCAGGGTCCCTAGTTATACCACAGTTTAATGACAGTCTAACAGTTGGGAAACGAATGTACTTGTGGGGGGGTACTCGGCGGGGGCCGTCGTTGCTCTGCACAAGCATGTATTATAGTTATGCTACAGCTTAATTGTGTTTGTAGCACATATGGGTCGGTTTAACTGGAGAAGGACCACACTCTCACAAAATGCCAGTGTAAAACAGGAGCTCAATGCTGCTGTTTCGTATGGTGAGTTTAGAGAACCGGAGACTCTTTTTAGTGGAAACGAGGCATTCCATCCTAGTGGTGGCATCCCTTAGGGGTGGCATCGCACGTGAATTTTGATTCTTAATTGACGATAGATGTAGATGTCCATGGGCTACAGCTTCCACTTACTATACTATGTGGACTATGTGCCCCTTTGTCACCCTTATTCTATATTAAAAAAGAGAGTCATAAGAGCAATCTATGATTTAAAACCCAGAGTTGTTCAGAGACCAACTGAAGGAAATTTATATATTAAGTTTGGTTTTTCAATAAATTTACGAAAAGGTAATGTAATAAACCAGGGTTTCCCAACCTTTTTTTGACTAGGGACCACTTTGATTTTTTTGTGGTTAGCAGGGACCACAAAGAGAAAGTTTTGTTGATCTAACAATAAATTGTAATCACAACTTTTAACATTATTATGTAATAAATTGAAAAGAAGCATTAATTAACAGTATTATTTGTGTATTTATTACAATAGCTGCTAGGTACTTAAAAATAACAAATGTGTTACTTAAAACGATTGGATTGGATTTAGGTAGGCAAAGTATTTAAATCCTTTGCAGAACAAATATACGCTCTTGCGGACAATTGATATAGAAGTAGTTTTTGAAAAATAAGTGATATTCATTCTGTAAATACTAGGAAAATACACAAGCTAGTAGTACCAGTTTCTCGACTCCATCGGGTCAGTAATTTATTACGCTTATACTTTTATAACGAAATCCCAGAAAATATACAAAATTTGACCACCTCAAAGTTAAACTTTATTAAACCAAGTCTGTATAAAAAGGGTTCTTAAATATTAAGGAATTTATATATGATAATCTAAATGTAGTAAAAGAGATAACCCTAAGGATTAACAATAAAGATATATTATTCTTGCAATTCAATAAAATTCTGTGTAAGCACTATTTATCTATTATATTATATAATTATTCACTATTTTGTTTACTAGGTGATTTTGATCACTGTTCATAAAATTTTATTGTAATATTTGACAAAATATACTGGTGGCAATGAGGTTATCACATTACATAGCACAGCAGTAAAAACATGTTGATATATATGTTAAAAAATGATATGATATATGTGTTGCCATCTTTAAGGTAGTACATAATCCTGTTGCTGTAGAAATCTTGGGATTTTTTATCAAAAAACTGTATCCTAAATGTGTATCCAAAAATGAGTTTTTACCTTTCATTTATTAGCATCAACTACTGGGGAATAGCTAAAATGTTTTCTTAATAAATGTTCAGCGTAGTTTTGCTATGATTATTTAGAGGATGTCACATGCGCACAAGCTCAGTTTTTGTATGCAAATATTACTAACGCCCGCTCTATAGTATGTATATATATTCATATATCTTTGACTTGAACCAACTTTGTGCTTCTTTTACTGACACTGCATTAGGTCCATAAACGTCACAAACTATTTTCGCGCCTTGATTCGCGTATTTCCCTTTTTTGTAATAAAACTTCAGAATGTATTAAATTTTTTTATTAGATTCACTTATTTTGGCAGACAGAAAACAATTGAAAAATGGCGGGAAAGTGTTTTTTAGATTTTTTTTAAATCAGCCAGATACAAACAGTACAACCAAAGAAATTTTTCTTCAATTTGTATACAAACAAAATATGAAGAAACTTTTTCCCCCACCCATTAAATAGCATAAAAATTTACATGAAACAAGTCATCATTGAAAATATTACTCAATATACTATATAAAATACTCTACTGATCTGTAGTGACCTGTAAATGCGGCAACGGTGCGGCGGCGCTGGGCTCACGCTGCATAGGTCATAGGTAATTATTTACCTACACTTGCCCATACATAGGTAATTTTTAATTTTACGTGGTAGAGCCATGCTGCAACTACATTGTGGTTGCAGCATGAATGGGTCGGCCTGACCGGGGTAAGACTGCGCTCTCACAGAATATCAGCGTAAAATAGCACCTTTATGGTGCTGTGTTTCGTATGGTGATTGTAGAGAACTGGAGACCCTTTTTACTGGAAACAAGGCATTCCATCTCAGTCCTCAGGGCTGGTAATACATCTGCATTTTGATTTTTAATTGAAGATAAATGTAGATGTCTATGGGCCACAGCATCCACTTAATATCAGATGGACTGTGTGCTTGTTTGTCACCCTTATACTATAAAAAAATGGCGAAAAACGACAAAAAGGCTACTGTGACTAGAATGTTAATTGTTATATATTTTTTTAGTAGTGTATGTTCAAAGAATGTTATGTAGGATGTCTTTTCATTTAATGTGATACTCCCATCGCCACTCCATATAATTTAATTTAAAATCTAATTCTTTGAGTTTCTGTCATAAAGTTAGCAAAACAAATTAATCACAGATATGAAGTTGATTAATTCAAGTTAATGCTACACATTAGATAAGTAGTTTACAGCTGATTTAATTTTTGCTAGCTACTGCCATGTCTGGAAAAATAATATATTTATTTATCAGTGATATTAGTGATTTCCATTCTATCGTGTTTTTACTAATTATCTTTTCAAAATAGGCACCAGATAAAAAGAAAATCATCACCAGATTATTTTCATAGAAAATTAAAAATGTTATAAAACAGCTTAAGATATGAAAATCAAGCAAAATACTAAAAAGAATCTTTACATTATTCACCTTTCTATATGTGCCATATAAGTTAACATTTGTTAATGTGGGTTCTATGTGGATGCAGTCCATTTAGAGTATTAATAATTTGGCTTATAAGACAGGTTGCCTATTTCAGATAACTGGTAAACCCTATTATTACTTATAACCTGGTAAAGACCTTTCTGTCGATCTTTAGGTCGTGACCCCATTAGGTTCACTGGGAGGCTGACTGTGTGGCGTCCCCATGACTGTCCAGACTATTTATGGACAGTTGTTTGGAAAAGTTGAAGAATGCGGATTAAGAATGGATGAGTTAACCATCAAATGCCTTTTGTTCTAGTTCGCCTTACTATATATTTTAAATAGAGTATCCATACAGTGCGTACTGTATGCAGTTTGCGGCGTTTCGCTTGCCGACTCAGTGAGTGGAGTTGAACTAATTTAATGATTTTAAAACAGCTATCATTTTGAGAATATCTATGGCGTCAAGCACAATCACTCTTCTCAGTACACTGATATACAGAATGGGTCCCACATATATGCAATAAATGAAACCATATACTTGTTATCACCTTTGCTGACGATATACAAAAAATGAACATAATCGGTCCAGTAATTAGGTCAAAAAGTAGAGTTTTAATTTTAAGCAAATTTGAACACTATAGAATTGGGTCACTAAGTCAATGATTCAATGAACTTGAATCCTTGAACATTAAAAAGCGACGTTGCCACGCAGTGCAAACTATTGGTATTGCAACATATCGACAGCGGTGTCTTTTGTCGGCGTGCCACCCGCGTGCAACGTTGTCACTCTTCCAAGGGGTCAAGGTACGTTGTCTAAACAGAGTGTTCACTTTTACTGAATTTATTTTAATATTTATTTTGTTTGAAAATTTCACTTTTTTACTTTACGGGTTTTAATTTAATATTTAATTTTTCTACACTTCTACGGACTAGTATTACTTGTGGTTTCATTTATTGCATATATGTGGGACCCATTCTGTATACTACTGTACCTTCTCTCCCTAGAGTTTGCAAGCGCTTTGCGGCTAATATGCTACAGTTCGCCGCAATCAATCTGATAATTCACCTTTCACTCAAACCAATATGCCGCTCAGAGGCAAGGTCAAATAGTCAGCCGCTCACTGCGAGCCTAATGGGGTTGCAGCCTTAAGTTACTGCAGCGTCTTTTGGTAATTCATCAATCAAAATTGACTTGAGTGGATGCTTTTGTGTTTTATTAAGTCTCATTAAAACTGGATTTCAGTACTTTCAAAACATCTATACCATATTTGATTATAGCCACATGCTAACATAAAAAATATGAACGTAATATTCGTGGGTTGCCGTTTATAAAGCTTTGCTTAATTCGTCATGGGTGCACATAAAAAATATTGCTCTTAAGATATCATTAACGCAAAATCTTTTTTACCTTGTAAACACTTGAAGTGTGAATATATAATTCAGATTTATTTAATAAAACTATGATGAAATTAATGATAGAATACCTGAGGTAATGCTACACAGCCCGCTGTAAACAGAAACTTTATGGAGAAGATTTCCTACATAGATCCACCTTGCTGTCTCTTCTCCGAGAGGTTCTGGTTCTATAACGATTACTCTGACTCCAGCCTCCAGAGCTCTTTCCAATTCCATTTCAAATTTAATATGAGCATTTTCACTGTCATATACTTCCCTTATTATAGCTACACTGGATGGTTTTAGATCACTGGAAGGAACAGTAAAAGCACTTATTACGAAAGACAGTAGGGAGAGATGAATATATTTATAACAAAGTAAGTAATTACTTTGTTATGAATTAATGACAATTATGTTTATGAGGAATAAGAAAACTGCAGATTTTTAAATATTAATTTATAACTATTCATTATTTACATACCTGTCACTTTCATCACCCGCCATGTTAACCATAGACATAGATGAATAATTTGATGTTGTTGTTGTTACGATTCCCCAATTAAGGCAGGCAAAGATCTTAGACTGTACGGACTAGTCTGATTTGTATTTGTTAGTAAAACTCTTCACAATATGCCGATGCGTCTTATTGCGAAGTTCATGAAAGAGGATATTTTGTTAAATGAAGCCCATTATTTTTTTTTACTTTACTTTCACACTAGGATTTTCTCCTGTATCGTGGGGGCAGTTTACAAACAATCACTAGGACAAACATCCGGACTCGGAACAACTACTTCTATGCTTTAAAAATACTTGTTTCGTGCAGAATTCAAACCCGCGGCAATTAGCGCTGTAGCTAATCCACTGCGCCATGGAACCGTCAAAATTATTTGTTTATTTTAAATTTGGTTTTCTCTCTGTGGTCATTTGAAATTCATTCGTTTATAACATTGTTTAGATACAAATATTATAATTTACCTTTTTTATACAGAAGATGGAGCAAATGATCATACGGCTCCCCTGATTGTACGTGTCGCGCGCCACCCATGAATAACCGCAACAGCACATGAATCGCAGGTGCGTTCTCGATCTTATAAAAAAGAGTAGGCTATTTTATTGAAAGTCGTACCGTCGTACCGGGCCAGAAAATCGCTGAAGGTAGGATTCCGCAAGGAAATTGTGCAAGGAACAAAACTTCATGTAAATCGCACAGTGGTGGACCGCCTGTCATTCAGATAGTATGGATAGCATCGCGAATTTCGTCGCGATGCGCGGTGGTGAAATTGAGTGGCTGGAATTAGTCCGAACAATTCCTCAGAGCACTCCCCTTGGTAAATGCACTAAAATACGCAAAGATATGGAATATCTCTTCGCTGTGCCAGTGAAGCAAGCTGATCAGAAAGAGCTTGGTCACCGACGATTCGAACTGCTCTGCGCTGGATGCGATCAAATAGAAGAACAGTATTCCATGTGAGGCCAAACCTGCGCATTATAGTTGCCTGTCCCTCTCTGCTGAGCACGCCAAGCTTTTAAGAGGCTAATTTGGTCTCTTCTCTTTCAAGTGGTCACGAAACTGGACGTCAGTCGATATGTCGACGTCAAGGATTCCGATGCTGACTGAAGCAACAAGGGGAGTGCCTTGAAACTTAGGAGATACCACAATGGGATTCTTTTAAGCGGTACTTAAACGCACATACTTGTATCTACTGGGGATTGAACTGGACTAGATTTGGTCGGCCTCAATCTAAGACTTCGTTCAACAAAATTTCGATTTTAGACACATGTTACTAGTATGCAACATATAGTTGATATGCAGAAAAAACAGCGTATTACAGCAAAACGCAGCCTTGTAGTAATCTGAGTATGCACCGTCTACTACGATCTTGATGTTCCAATCCGCAACCGCGAGGGGATCGTGAGTGGCATCGTACTCTAGATCAGACATTGGTTCGAACAGACAAGGGGGCATCGACGGAGACCTGAAATCCATCTGGATGCATGATAAAGTGCATGATAAGGTGCATGATCGTCTACATCTGAGATCCGCATAGGCGAAGTAACCAGTTGTATCAGATCATATGCCATGACAAAGTCATAAGCAGATCTATCCGCATGAACGGTTAAACGGGAACACAACCATTCAGCATGATGGTTAAAATCACCGAGCATCACGATCTCTGCGGATGTGACCTGTTGTAACACGGAGTCTGCAGCCATTTGAACGTGGTTGACGAGTAGAACGGTGTCGGCATTACCGCTATGGGATCTATAGAGGCACCCGTAGATATGGGGATAGTTATCGCCGTCTATGAACGATAAACAGTTCCGTACCTTCAAGACTGCCAAGACGTCGAAAGCAGATGTCCTCTTTGACGTATACACAAACGCCATCCCGGGACACAAAAGAGTGTTCTAATTTGTACCCCGGGTAGGAGAGATACTAAGTATCAGCCGGAGAGAACACCTATGTCTCGGTTAGAAAGAGCATGACCGGTTTCACCATCTCCAGATGGTAGTGGTTACGTTAAGATTTGAATGAAGTCTCCTGATGTTACAGAAATTCACGGTACCTTCCTAGGGTAGTGGTTTATTTAACTCCGTTACCATGTTCCCAAAAACGTGGAACCCAGAAGGAAACTTCTATTTCATGCTGGTATTCTGTGAGACAGTCCATCCGTGCGACAGCAAAAGCTGCCGCGTGGCTCTACCACTGTTACTTTTACGAAATACACGTTTATTTGCTACCATCATGACCATCGTGTTCATTCGCTTTTGAAATATTGTACAACTTTATTCTGGTTTATGTTTTTAACAACGATTAAGTTTATGTATAAATTAATATTCGAAACAGGATTTCAACTTACCAATTTAGCAATTTACAAACATTTATTACGAGCAATTCACCCCGGGTGCTTTCCGTAGGTGGCGCTGTTGTCAAGACAACAGTGCCACCTACAGGGTCCAATTATGAGAAACAGAAACTGAAACATTTTTTATTCAATATAGATTATAAAAATACTTAATGAAAGTAACTATTTTATTTACCTCTGTTTCGGAAAAAAACTTCTGTCCTGGAAAGAACGAGCAAGAAAACCCTGCGGGAATTTTTATAATAAAAAACAACACCTAAATATTTTGTTTTTTCTACTCTATTTATAACACACTCACAGCTAGAAAGTAGGCTGTCTAGGTGCGTGTGTATTTTAATGCTGTAGTTTGCTGGTAGTTGAGTGGAATTGTACATAGCAAACCAAATGTAATTTGTTTTATGAGTGTTTCATGAGAGTAGGTTGTTTTTTACCAGGCTGTTATAGTTTTAAGTCCCGATTATGCACGTGTTTTCACTTCCCCCCAAGTATTTCTAGAAAATGTAACAGCTGTGGAGAAGTGTGTCGTCAGTATGGGAGAAGATGTGACCGTGAGGAATAGAAAGCTTCCACAGTGCATTAATATAGTAATACCTGGAGGAACGCCGAAAATAAAATTTTCTTCGTCACTCAACACAGAGTCTACACTAACAAGCTGAGTTCGCTCATGTAGGTAGCTGAACATCATGTTTAGAGAAGTATCCCTAAAATCTATAAGCCCCAAAAACTCTAAAAGGTCAGGAATAGAGACTGTTTCAAAAGCCTTTCTCAGGTCTAAAAATACTATAATACACTCTTTGCTATTGTCTAGATTCTTTACGAACAAAGAGCTTAATGCGAGAACAGCGTCTTCTGTGGAAAGTTGTTTTCTAAAACCAAATTGTTTACTTGATAAGATATTATTCCCATTTAAGTAGTTCAATATCCTAGTATTTCAGATTTTCTCTATAATTTTAGACAAAGCTGGTAGTACAGAGATAGGACGGTAGTTATTTATATCATCTCTGTTTCCACTTTTATAAACAGGTGTTATTAATGATTGTTTAAGTACGTTAGGAAATATACCACTCGTAGAACAGAGGTTTATAAGGTAAGTGAACACAAAAAAGCTTCAAAAGCTCATTTGGAATTTTATCCCACCCGGGAGCACTATCCAAGTCAAGACTCATCAACACCCGCTCAACTTCAGCATTATATGTTTGGAGCAAAACAAAAGAGTTTAGGAGCATGTTAGACTTTATTTCTTCAGCTAGGCATCTACCTATTCCGGAGAATTGTTTGTTAACACAATTAACTGAATCCTGAGGTCTAGGTTTTATACTTAATAAACACAAATTTGAAACCTTCTTGTTTTTGAATTGAGTAACTTCATTAATATTTTTGCAGAGAACTTTGTTATTTTTACAAGATTTAGAAATGAAGCTACGATCATGTTTACGTTTTTGTTTTTTAATAAGTTATTACAAAAATTTCGGTGACGATGATAAGTGATTTTTAATACATCATTTGTTGGATAGTTTTAGGTTCTTCTGCATAGAACTTCTGTTTCTTATGCATCGAAGTATACCTTCTGTCATCCAGGGTTTGATAAATCTCTTCCAGGACCAGCTAAAATTTTGGTATGTTTAACGCAATAGATATTTGATCGATCAATATATTAGTTTGAATGTTTGGGTCTGTACATAAATATAAATCGTTAAAGAGTTCAAACTTAGACTATTTAAGGCGGCATTAAAGTCAGATACAGATTTCGTCTTATTAGAATTGTTTGAACTATTGTTGCCCACTAGGCTAAGTAAAGTCATATTGTGGTCTGTTATAGTTATATCGAGAAGTGCGACAGAAACAGAAACAGAAACTTTTTTATTCAATGTAGATTATAAGCAATACTTATTGAAAGTCAATTTTTTCATTTACCACTGGTTCGCAAAAAAAAAACTCTGTCCTGGGAAGAACCAACAAGAAACCCAGTGGGACTATTTTTTTTTCAAATAATAGCTTACGATCATGTTTACAATTAACAACACAACACAAATTAGAAATAGCTTGGTAGCGATCACCTTTCCCAGGGGTTACCATCATCCATAAATTCCTTAATATTATAATAACCCTTTTTGTACAAACTTAGTTTAATAACATTTTTGAACTTTGCATATGAAAAATTTTGTATATTTTCTGGGATTTTGTTGTAAAAGCGTATCCATCACCCCAAGAATGAATTACTGACTCGGTGGAGTCGAGTAACTGGTACTACTAGCTTGTGTTTGTTCCTAGTATTTACAGAATGAATATCACTTATTTTTGCAAAACTACGTTTATTCTTGTGTACGTACATTACATTTTCATAAATATATTGAGAGGCCAGAGTTAATATATTAATTTCCTTAAATTTTTGTCTCAGTGACCCTTTTGGTTTTAAATTATATATTGCTCTAATGGCTCTCTTCTATAAAAGCGACGACGCTTCGACGAAAGCGTTTGTTCTTTTTTATCAATTTTTAACATAAAATGGTCCAAAAAATGCAATTTTCTGGTAGGAAAATCGTGGCCTGGAAGTATTGCATGTATAGCCAAAGCGTTTGGATAAAGATTTATGTTATTTCTTTCATAACTTTGTTCATACATAATAGGTAATAAATT